TATTCCTTTTAAAGAGTGTATGGACTAGCTAAAAGCATGGGTGCTGAACCAGACTGCCTGGGTTTGCAATTTTACCACATACTTTCTAGCTGTTTAATCTTGGGCGAGATACTTAAGTTCTCAATGTCCTAGTTTTCTTATCTGTAAACTGGGGTTTGTAATATAGTATCTAGTTTATAAGTAGTTGCAAAGTACTAAGAATAATGCTTGGTACATAGTAAGTGCTCAGTAAAAGTTAGCTATTTTAAAATTATTATTCTTCTCTTAACGTTTTTAAAAAGAAGTTCATTTATTTTTAGGGACTTTATTTATTTACTTTTAGAGAGAGGGAGAAGGAGGAAGAAAGGGAGGGAGAGAAACATGGGTCGGCTGCCTCTTACACACCCCCAACCGGAGAGCTGGCCCTCAACTCAGGCATGTGCCCTGACCAGGAATCAAAACAGCAACCTTTCAGTTCACAGGCTGGAACCCAGTCCACTGAGCCATACCAGCCAGGGCTAAAATTATTATTCTTAATGTAGCAGAGACTACTACATATTTCCCAAAGTCTCTATTCCCCTGCTTATTTTAATAACAGAATCTGTAAGCTGTAGTATGCACATGACTCTCCTGAATAAGCACAGCATCTTCTAGACATTATTATAGTAAGAGTGACCACGTGACTAGGTCCTGGCCAGTCATATGCAAGCAGCAGTATCAGGTGGCAGCTTAGGGGAAATGCTCCTTGAGAAACAAGTAGAAAGAAGGAAGGGAGGAAGGGAAGGAGGGAGGGAGGGAGGGAGTGAGTTTAAACTCCTCCTCAACAAATAAAAAAGGACAAGTTAATACTTATTAGATTCTCAAAATTAAATAGTTTGAAATAGCTAAGGGTTGGTGAGTATACAAAGCAACAGAAACTCTCAAACATTGCTGGTGGGAGTGTAAATTGGTACAATCACTTTGGAAAAACCATTTGGTATTATTGAATAAATGTGAAGTTATGTATACTCATTAATCCAGAAATTTACTCCTAAACTTATATTTTAGAGAAACACATATGTGTACCAGGATACATGTCAAAAGATATCAGTAGCAGCATTATTTGTAACTGCTATAACTGTACTAATCCACAGGTCCACCCACAGCAGAACAGATAAATAAATTGAGGTATATTTATACAATGGTATACTAGTCAGCGAGAAATTGAATTAGCATCCATTGAATAGCAGCAAGAATCAAACTAACACAAACAGTAAGATTCAAAAATAGGCAAAACTATATCCTTTAGAAATGCACACTTAGATGAAATTGTAAAGAAGAGCAAAGCACTGATTACCATAAAGTCAGGATTATAGTAATCTCTAGGTCTAGGGGTAGAACTCCTCCAGGGAGAGCTGTGATTAGAAAAAGAAATAGCCTCTGAAATGCTCGCAGAGCTCTGTTTCTTCAATTGAGTGGAGGTTGCATGGATGTTTCTTTAAAATATATATTTTAAACTACACATTGTCTCATGTACTTTTCTATGTGAATATTATATTTCACAATTTTAATTACGGATATATAAAGAAACACTGTGTCCTTGGCCTCCCATCTTTTCAATCCTTTCTCTCTCCTGCTGCCTGAAACATAGATACTGCCACCTGAGACCCTGGGAGCAAGGCTCACAACATAGAAATATCAGAGTAATGAGCAGGAAGGTAAGTCCCTGAGGACTCTGTGGGGCACAGCTGCCACATCCGTTCTGAACCTTTTGCTTCTGTACTTCATTTACATGAAAGAGAGAGAAACTTTACATTATTTTAGAATTTCGTTATTTATATAGTCAAACCTGATATGAATATACCTATATACAAGATCTTCCAAAAGAAAACCTACTCAAAAGAAAAACTGCCTGCTTCAAACACACACAAACATACATGCACACAATATATACATATAAACACACACACAATTAGGCAATTAATTCACGGAATAAGATTCCAAAGAGCTTGTAAACACTAAAAAGTGGATAATCTAAGCAGTAATCAGAGAAATGCGAATTAAAACAAGAGAGTGTATTTCATGCAACAGATTAGCAAACATTTTAAAGAGCAATGTATTCATTTCTGTAATTGCTATAATTTTCAGAAGGTAAATTGGCAATATCTTTTAAATTTGAAATGCTCTTACCATTTGAGACAGCAAAGCAACACACATCTATACCACAGAAACAAAAGCAGTAATAACAGCAATACTCGAGATCATATGTTCAGAATTCTTATCATGGCATAATTTGTCAGTGTAAAAAACTGGAAACAATCTGTGAAATTCATCAGTAATAGAATGTTGGGATAAATTAAAGCATATCCTTTCTATGAAATATTATGTAGCTGTTAAACATTACTTCTATCGTACTCTAGACGTTTATTTATTATGTATTGTTTAGAGAGGAAAATAAATTACTCATCTTTATACAATTTGCCAAACTATTTTGTGTATAAATGTGTATGAACATGCAAGAAGGTGCGAAAAAATACACCCAACACTAACAATGGTTATTTGGGAGTCAGGGCGGATTCCTTTTTCTGTATTCATCTTTGGATGATTTTACTTGTTACAATGAGTATAACTATGGTTTGCTTTTGTTTTACATAATTTAAAATTGGCTTTAATAAAAGGTATAACTCCAAGAATGCAAAATAATTAATGTACTTCAGAGCAAGATGAACATCTTCATAATTGATTATTGTCAAACATTAAGTTCATATCACTGAAGCAAACTGCACAAACCTGTACAAAAGAAACTCAAGAAAATCATGTGGTTTATCTACTGATATTTCATAATTAGTATTTTATTAATAAGTAACTTCAAAGATAACCATGTGTTAGGAAAGTAAATAAATGCATGTTACTTCTTGCAATCTTCTGGGGAAGAATTTAATACCAAACTATGTTATTATGGAAAGGAAGACAGGAGCTAAGAAACACAGAGAAAAGGACAATTCCTTTTTCCTTATCAGAGGGGTCTAAGGACTCCCAAATGAGTGTGTGGCAGGAGGGTTATAAATGAAGGTGTACAAACCTCCCAGTTCTAACCCCTCTTCCTGCTGCTTCTCAAATGCTCTTCCTCCATCAAGGCATAGCCAACACCTAGCCAGACACCTGAGTCATGTTCGCCTCCTCCCTTTTGCTTTGCTTTTTCCCTGAAACTGCCTGGTTGCAAAATCCTCTCAATTTTATCTCTGGAATGCTCCTGCCCTTGCCCTCCTCCTGAACCTGTTGCATTTGGCCAGGATTATTTAATAACACTGGCGCTGCCACCATTGAACAAGTATAGACTCTTGCCAGGCCTTCTCGACCTTTCCTATCTGGCTTCTTGTGCCTTCTCCACCACCTTCTCCCCTGTAGCCCTCCTTTGTTCTGTACGATCAAGATTTTGCTAACCCGTGAGGACCTCCTTGCTGACCAGGCCTGGGTCTCTGACCCTAAGAAGCCTGGGAGCCCCGGGATGTGCGCAACTGCACCGAGAAGAGACAGAGCCCGGAAGCCTGATGGGCGGGGCCGGGCAGGGGCGGGGCCTGCCCTGGCTGGGCTGGCCAATGGGAACGCTGAGATTAGAGTCAGAGGTCATCCCTCCAGTGAGCGGGAATTTCCGCTCCTGAAGATCGCGATGCTTCCCCTAGTAAAAGGTCCGAGAGGCTGGAGCGAGGCCCCGCGGAGGTGTTCCTGAGTTGAGGGGAAGATAAGTTCAGGATGGGCTAGAGTACGGGGGCTCAGAACTCTCTGGAAAACAGATTCGTGTGGCTCTGTGGCGGCAAGTCCCCAGAACCAGCGTCCACCTCACCTAATTAGAATAGAGGATGGGAAGGAAACACAGAAAGGCCAATAGGACCTCTGTCCACTGACTAGAAGTCATAGTATTAAACGAGATGAGAAAATACAGGCGCTTCGCCTCCTCCTCGGTTTTACACGGTTAACATGGCGTTGTTCTGCCAGGGAGCGAGGAAGGGGAGGAATCTGGAGCTTCAGGCCGGCGGGAGGAGAGGGGAAGCCAGCCCAGACATTCACACTCGCCTGCGTGCGTGGTCTTCAGTGACCTTGGAATTACATGCCAGTGTCTATATACACCTTAAATGTATACCACTTTTATCAGTATTGGTGAATTATGCCTCAGTAAAGCTAGGAGGAAAAAATATTGGGAAACCTTACTTTCCTACCTTGTTCGTAAGCGCCTGCCCTAATTATCTGTATTCGTTTCCATTTTGCACAGGTCAGCAGGTAGCACAGGAGAAATAAACTCTTTAAAAACAGGTAAGGAAAAATATTTCAGGAATTGCTGCCATTCAAAAGTTGGCTATTTTAAGCACATTTCTCTAGCCGTGATTCTGCTTGTTTCCCCCCTTGTCTTTGATTTTAGACATAAGGCCTCTTTATCTCCTGTCTATCCACCACTATAAGATGGATTCAAATATCTGTAATGTAAGGAAATTAAGTTGCAGAGGAAAGAGACGCTATGAGTTTGTAACACAGTCAGGGACAGGCCGAGGTTGCAGGCTCCACCCCTGGTGGGGGGCCGGGGAAGGCAGCTGCTGCATGTTTCTCCCTCACACCTGTGTTTCTCTCCCTCTCCCCCACCCCCCTTACCCTCTCTAAAATGAAGTAAAGTAAAAATAAAAATAAATTAAATAGTTGTCCTGAGAAAACCACTGTGCTGGTTTTGCAAACTCGAGCCTCTTTTGCAACAAAATGATTATGTTAAATATATTTCAATCCCTCAACTGGAAGTTGTGTGGATTCCACAATATGAAACGTGTATGAGTAATTTTATATCGACATATATTATTACATATTAGATATAAATCTTTAATAAGTGTTATGTTCGTAGTTAATTTTGTTGATCATCCAGAGCCTTTTTTAAAATGAGTGAACCAAAGTTTTGTGATTAAGAATGATATTTCTGCCCCTGGCTTTGCTATTTTACCAACATTTAATTTTTATTTTCCCAGCTGTTGAAACTTGCATTGCTTTCAAAGGAAGAAGATATGTTTTCAGCATTCAAATATTGTGCGATAGACTATTTATATGAGGTAGGGTGTTACTGGACCACCATCTATTTACTAACAATTGTGATATGAAAAGTGTTGCTATCGTCATTATATGATTATGATCATTTTACACTTGTCCTTGTATTCATCCTTTGTCTAGTTGCTTTCAGATTCATTTAAAGTTACTTCCTACTTTTAATATAGCTTAAAAATGCCAGCCTGGGAGGGAAATAATGGACAATTTAATATGAATTTAAAGCTCTTAGGGAACAAATTGAAACTCTTGGCAAGTTTGGGCTGCTCTCATGAATAATCTTGAGTAATCTTTATTGTAAGGAGTATGGGGAAAAACAATCTTAGTTATCTTTATGATAAAATAACAGTGACAACATGCATTGACCACTTACTGCGGGCCAGGTACTTTGTTTGTTTGATGGGTTATATCATTTGATCATTTGCTCTTGTGATGGAGTCTGTCATTTGATCATTCCAACTGCTTCTTTACTAGTAGATACTAGTGCAAAGGTTTTACAATTTTACAGTTTAGGAAACTGATATCTACAGAAGTTGAATTGCTTGTACAAAGCTAATAGTCTAGCCAGCCAAGCACATTGTTAAGAACTAATTGGTGTACTTCTCATACAACAGTTCACTGTTCTCGTGATCTTAATCAACACATTAAATTTTAGTTTTAGGTTATAAATAAAACTAAAATAAATTACTCCAATATGACTAAACCTTTGTTACATTATACAGAAAATAAATACATAAAGGCATCTTCAGTTTTTATTATTCCCTCATAAATGAGAAGGCAAATGTGTCCTTATAACATATATGGTAGGGAACGAGAAGTCATTGTTACACAAATATATTTGTGAATATATTGGCCGCTTGCAAAATTGGTCTATACTCAAGCATCCTCAAACTTTTACCTTTGCCATAATATCTCAGTTTCTTGTTTGTGTACCATACCCCCAATACAGTACAAGTATGATACTAATCAATGACAAACCTTGCAAAAAGTGCAGGTTTTTGTAAATTTTACAAAAACAGTGTTGAATAACTACTGAAATAACAGGTAAAGCTATTATCAAATGATGATCTTGTAAAATTAGATTAGTTAATAAACAAGAGGCAGAAAATGATTTGAATATTAAAGAAGTCAGAGATGCCTTGGAAACATTTGATTAAATCCTCGAATATTTTCTAAAAATATCTTCTTTATGATCAAAGGTAAACTAATGTGTAATATACATATTATCATGTAATATGTTTGTGGGGAAATTATGACAAAACTATTATAATAACTTTATTTTTTTAAATAAAGTATCAATCATTATTTTTCCTTCTTACTGTGAACCTTTGGTTCTCATTTTATATAAATTACTTCAACTGAGCTTTTCTTTGTACCCTTTATTTTTGGATAATGAGGATCTCTTATTTAATATGTTATCACACCTTCAGCAAACATAAAACTCTTGGGAAATAATGCAGGAAACTACTGTTTGTCCAAGTTCCTAAAATAATGAACTCTGTGGGAAGTTGAGAGTCACTGAGGGACAATTTCATAAAGGAGCTAGTGCTCAAGACAAGCCTTGAAAAATGATTAGGATTTTGATAGTTAAAGAAGAATAGTGGGGCATTTTTCAGGGGCACACTGTAGACCATGGCGTCAATAAGGAACTGACTGCTCAATGTTAAGGGAGGTAGTAAGGAGACAAGTCTATTTAAAGAGAACCGTTAGTATTAGAGAGTAATGAGAGATGAAGCTAGAAGGTGAAGGCAGGATAGAATTACAAATTTGCTTAACTGATTTAACAGTCTTCTAAAGAAATAGTTTTATTTGTTAGATTTTTAAAAAATAGAATCACATTTGATAGTTGTCATAAGTGAAATAATGAAAAGACATAGAAAACAAAGGTTAAGACAGCTATATTATGCTAAGTGAAAAACAAAAGCACATTGTTAAATGGTATATACATGATGTGATCCCATTTTTGTTAAACACACATGCGCACACATTTTGGCCTAACTTAGAAAAAAAATGGTCTGTAGGAAAATACACTGAACTGTTACCGATATTGATTTGGACCTTGATTTTCTCAGCATGTGGTTCTATGTTACGTGATATTTATAATGAGTATATATTACCTTTAAATAAAAATATATAAATTTAAAAGAAGAGAGAATTTTAATATTCTGAATATTGATAGATAAATATGTTAAATCTGTTAAACATATTAACAGATTTTATAATCCTACTTTCTTACATAGAATGTAGTTAGAAAGAAGTTTTGCAGAGATACTTTATTTCTTCGAATCCCTTCATGTTTATATCAAGATGGAAATTATCATGTACAAGTTATTGATAATACATATAGGAGGCCATGGACAAGAGGTATGTTTTATTTCTTAAAAATCTACTTTAAAAATTATTGTAGAGTTTAGCACAGTAAATTAAGAAAATGTAGTGCTTTTCTCATTAAATAAAACCCATTGCATTTATTTATTTATGTGACAAAATAAGGAATTGAAAAACTTATACTAGATATGAACAGAACAAATGAAAGATTGGTAGATGATGAAGTCTTAAACTATTTTAACATTGTAAACACTTATTATATTATAAAAGGGTCTTGCTCAACTGTTGGAGGGCTACTTTAAATTGTAATGATACACTGAATATAACATTATTTTAAAATGTATATGTACAAAATATCATCATTTGCTTTAATCATGTCATTGACTTAGGAAAGAGGTAGGCTCCATGGACAAGTCAAGTCAGCTAATAACATTTATTTAGCAGATATAATGTATCACGCACTGTTTCAGGTGCTAAGGACACAGTTACTAACAAGACATAGAAATAGTCCCTGCCCTCAGTGGGTTTTCAGACTGGTAAGAAGGATGTAGCAGTAAAGCCACTAAATCCATAAACTAATACCCGTTATTGATAAATGTATAGAGAAGACATAATAGAGTGATGTGATATGAAATTTTAGAAGTGAGGAGTGCTAGTTTGTGGATGGATCCCGGCCTGCAGTATCCATCTTGGCCACGGATGTCCGTCAACACGTGAGAAAAACATACACAGAGACAACCAGGTCCTGTGGGGGAATAGGAACAGCAGGGCCACCCTCCCAGGTGGGGAGAGTGTGTGGTTCCCCCTCCGGAGAGGCCTTTTATTGGTTTCATTTGAATAAGAATTCAGGTAAAAGGTCATTACTCATTGCTAGGATGTAAGGATCAAACGATAGGTAACAAGGAACTCTGAGGGTCTATTTTGAGTCAGGGTCAAAGAGCTGTAAGACTTTAAGGAACAAACTTCTTCCTTGGACCCTTATCATTCAACTGAGAGCATTCTAAACAAAGCAGGTTTCACAGGATTTTACATATTTTTTCTTAGGCCTGATCACCCAGGGAACCCGCCCTTTTCAGCACAGAGCTGCACCACCCTGTCATTGTTTCAGGCTTAGGTGGAGCAAGGGAAGTGAGGCAACCAAGAGACAAGGAGATTTTCTCCCAGACGATGAGGATTCAGGCTATGTCAAAGCCGAAGAGCGAGGGTCCATCACCCCCTTTTGCTGTAGCCCCCAAAGTCCTTTCTTGGGGGCCTCCCATGTGATGGTGCCTGTCTTAGGTCATTCCCCCCTTGGGGAATCTTACCCGTCATTGGCTAACCAACCAAGCTTTGGGGTTCAGTTATGAATGAAGCAGCAGAAGCAGCGCTCCTGCCAGGGAGATAAGCTTTTGTCTCCTTGCTGACTTATGGCCCAAGGTCACTCCCTCAGCCTTAGCCTTGGCGGGGTTACAGCTTCTGATACCAGGCAGGGCAGTTCCCAACACTAGTTCTGATGATTATAGAAGGAATTCTATGTAGAGGTGGACATTTGAGTTGAGACCTGAATAATGAGAAGGAAACAATCACAAAAAGATATGGGGGAGAAGCCTTTCAAGTAAATGCAAAGTGCCTGACTCAGAAATAAATTTGATTTGTGTAAGGGTCAGAAAATTAGGCCATTGTGACTGGTTCATGAAAAGGTGGAGATGTGAGAACTAGGCAGTTTCTGACAGATAGAAAGATTTGAAGGCCATAATATGGCTAAGGTGGTAAGTCAATGGACAGTTTTAGGACAGGGAGTGACATAACCTGATTTATACTTTAGAAAAATTATTCTGGCTGTCTAGAGGATAGAAGGGGTAGTGGCTGGGAGGCAAGAGTAGAAGACAGGAAAGTCGATCTGGAAGCTTTTGTAATAGTTCAGAATCTAGACTGTTAGGTGAATCTACATTCTACATAAAAGATGGTGGGGCTTAGACTAGTCTTATAATAATGGAGATGTGAGAAGTGGTTAAAACTGGGATTATTTTAGAGGTGCAGCCAACAGTGAGAGGGTTAAAAAAAATAGAAGAATGAAAAATTTCTTCTAGGATTTAGACCTGAGTAACTGGGTGGGTGGCAGTGCTATTTTCCAAGATAGGAAAAGGCTGCCCAGGAAGCCAGTTTTTGGCTGGAATCAGTAGATCTGCTTTGGCCGGGTTAAAATGCCTATAGGCGTCTAAATGGAGTCATCAAGAAGGCAATTGTTTATATTCATATCGAGCACAGCTGGAGCTTCAAATAGGAGTCATTGATGTGTAAATTGCATATAAAGTCCTGGAGCTGGATGGAGTCACTGAAAGCATGGGTATAGACAGAGCTGAGAGCCTAGGACAGAGCCTTGGAAAACTCCAATAATTAAAAGGCAAACAAAGAAGGAGGAACCACCTAAGAAGACAAGTGAGATAGGAAACCCAAATGAGTGTGGTATCATAGAATTCTAAAAGAGAAAGTGTTTCAAGAAGGGAGAAGTAGTCAAAAGTTTTTGTCCCTGTTAAAAGGTCAAGTAAGATAAGGATAGTGAGTTGACCTTTAGTTTGACTAAATGTAGGGCATTGATGACTTTGGTAAGAGAGACTTCACTAGAGTAGTGGGTAAGAAAACTTAAGTAGAGTATATTGAAAAGAGAATGAGAAGTGGAATAGACAACTGTTTTGAACAATTTTGCTATGAAGGAAAATAGAAAAATGAGGCATTAGCTTAAGGGAGAAATGAGATAAAGAGTTTTGTTGTTGATGTATAATTTTTAAAAAATTTATATGATGAGGAAAGAGCCTATAAATGTTTGTTTGCCAGTGGTAATAGTCTTGGTAAAAAGAGAAAAAATGATGATGCATGCAAGAAAAAGGATAATAATAAAAAAGGGATAGTATTGTTACAGGGTGCAGCCAAGAGGGGGGACCCCAAATGGGCATTTGAAATGAGGTCCAGAACTTAAGGTGTCCAGGAGATCTTAAGATGTCTCCAAACCCCCCCCCCCAGGGTGTGGGTTGGGGGAAGGGACAAATGGAGCAGGACCATTGAGAGCTGTTTTGCATAGCAACAGCCTTGCAGCTAAGCTCTGGTGTGGTCATTTAACATATCTGTAGCCTTTGGCTGGTCGCTTAGATATGTTAAATAGCTGCGATCATCTCTGAGCCAGGGGAATGGAAGTAACTTCCCCACCAAGACGTGACTGGGGGCAGATCCCCTAAGCTACAGCACCTGCGTGGGAGCTCGGAGAAGATTGGCTCTAGGACATGGGCCACACCTGCCCAGACTCACGATGGCAGCCCAGTAAAGCTGGAAGGATATGTATTCTGGCAAGTGAAGCCGAGTGTGGGAGGAGTCGGAAATGAGGCTGCAGAGGAAGATTGGCCGCGGGGATTTAAAACCCAGATGTGGCGGCCATTAGGAGAGAACCACGCGGCCTTGACAGAGTGGAGACTCCCGCAGCTTTAGAAGGGGAGAACCATGCTGCTTTAGGAGAGAGAACCACGCAGCCTTGACAGAGTGGAGACTCCCGCAGCCCTGAGAGGGAGAATCACGAGGCCTGGACAGATCAGGGACCCCCACAGCTTTAGAAGGGGAACCACCACCTGGTTTAGGCAGAGATCCTGGCGACTCAGCCGAGGGTGCCGGGAACCCAGGGAGGTCTCCCAGCCAAGAGGGAGCACTAACTGGGAAGAACCAGAAGACTGCCTGAGCCGTGGACTTCTGTTTCCTTTCCTGAGATACGGTACTCTGGACTGGGCAAAGGGGGAAGGAAGGAAGGACTGTGTCTGTTTGTGGGTGTTTTAAGGGACTTTAGGATTTTTGATAAAGACATTAGGTCACTACTTGAAGTCTGTATAGCATTAAATAAACATTTCCTTTCCTTTTCACGAATCTCTGGCATTGAGAGACGTCTTTCCTCTGGCGGCGGACATAACGGACCCAGGGCCTTCTTTCAATAATAGTATATTGTCTCAGGCCCCCCTTGTTGTGTTCTGTAACAGTATCAAGAGCACAGGTGGAGAAGATGGTACTAGATAGACGCTAGGATAGTTCTCCCATTGTGATGGATAGAAAGATAGGGTTTGAAGGTACTTAAGCCAATGAGATGGTAGAATTGGTGATGAAAGATCAGGTGGTTTTTGGTTTATGTCAATGTCCTATGTGGAGGCAAGGCCATACACTGACAGAGGGTAGGAAGATGAGTATTGAAAATTTGAGGAGGGAAAAGTGTTAAATAGTTGTCTTCAAAAATGAGAAAGCCAATTTTGTTAGGAAGGTGTAATATTATCATCTGTCAGTGTTGGATGCCCTTTTGAAATTTATAGTCATAATGAGTTCATTCAGCATGGCTGGATAATTTTTTCCCAATAATTTTCAGCTGTTCTAGTGTACTTACACTAAGTGGAGAGTAGGGGTTTTCCTAAATTAATACAAGAGAAGGAGGGGCAACAGAAGAGTTTTTGTAAGGAAGTGGTAATGGGATGGCCATGGGACCTACATTGTCTGAGAAAGAAGGTGAGGACATGAGGGAGGATGAAGACTGTAAAAATGGAAGGGTCGGGGGATGGCAGGTCTCAATCATGTTGGAGTAGCTTTCATCCGACTGCTCCTCTAGAAGTACAAAAGGAGAAAATGAGTTTATAATTTCTTCCTACTTATTTTCCTTTTCATCTTCTTAAAAACAATGATAACAATAACGCCCAAGATGTATTAGGCTCTTACAATATGTCAGGTAGTGTTCTAAGCAATTTACATGTCTCTTCACATTTAATATTTATACCAACACTATGAACGGGCCATTATTATTCTTAATTTGTAGATAAGGAAACTGAGGTACAAAGAGGTTAAGTGATTTGCCCAAGATCATACAGTTAATAAGTAGCAGTACACATATTAAAATCCAGGCAGGGTGATTCTACATAAAAGATGTTTAGTAAACTTTCATATTTTTTCAGTGAGGCATGTGCTCAGATGTTAAGTGATTTGTTCAAGGTAGTAAAACTAGTAAGAAGGAACACACATGGTAAAATACAAGTCATTTGACTCTTCACTCAGTTGCTTCTTCTGACACTAGTATATGACATGGCTCCTCTCCTTAAGGCACCAAGGGTCTAATTTGGGGCAAAAATATAGATACATACATTTTAAATATATGACTGTATATGATTAGGTACCAGAGGGAGTGCTACTGACAACATTATAGCCTTTCAAGGGGCGTGTATTAGAGTGAGTTGGAATGGCTAATAAAGGCTCTGTGAGGAATCATGCGAGCTGTCGAAGAACACTCTCTGGGATGGTAGTGCTGTGTAACCCAGCCTCCAAGGGGAGGCTGTAAAAATGAGGATAGGATGTTCAGGTGATATTGTTCTGACTGTAGATGGGTTATTAAAGGAGGAATTGTATTAATGAGAATAATTACTTAAATATTTGAAATCTGGTATAACTTCGGGAAAATTGCATTATGGAAAATAAAGGTAGCATCATAATGTAAAAGTTGAATGTTTGGCTTCCTTGTATTAAGTGTAAAAGAAAATTCTAGAAGCTAATGTTAACCATGCTCCTTTCTAGTCTCAGCTGTTTCAGTTCGGGGAATGACAGACAGCTCAATCTTGGATCAATGGAAAGCAAGCCTCCATGTGGAAGACTTCCTCGAGAAGTAAGTGTCCTTTACCTCAGATTTCCCTTTTACTTCCAGAGGATAAACAGGAAGTTCTCCAGGCAACTAAAAAGAGAAGATCCTTTCCTTTATATCCTCACAGATTGTTTTTCATCTGAAGAAAAAAACCTTAATCTGACCACAAAAGATAGGTTAATATAAGTGATTTACATCCTCTTTTTATCTTTTCCTCGTTTATCATAAACTAACTATTCTCAATGCATTTGTGTTACAAAAGACATACAGAAATAAAGAAAATGTTATTATGCTTTTATTCAGTAAGTAAACTTTTTGTAGAAAGTGTCCATAGAGAGGCCTTTATATTAAAATCAGTTTTTTCCACTATAGTATAAATGCAGATTTAAGACTATTTTCTAATATAGTTTGTTAAATGTTATTTTTTTATTAGCTTGATCATTCATCAGATATTTACTACATAGCATCCTGAGTGCCGGATACAGAATACAAAAATGAATAAGACAGCCTCTACTCACAAACACAAGAAAATATGAAATAGAAATTTATAAATAATTACAATACAGTCTGGGAAGTACAATGAGAGAAATGGGAACACAGAGCATAATAAGAGAGCATCTAATGTGTTCAACATTGTTAATGTAGATGCAAATTAGAGATTTCAGTGCAAATGTAAATAATTTACTCTATTGCTTCGATACATGCAAAGAGTGCTGATCAGACCCAAGAAGGATTTAGTTATTATTCACATTTTCAAATTTTAGTAATTTAAGTTTTCCTTAGTTGCACTTGAAGGAAAGAACCATTTTAAATGTGTCTAGACTCTAAATACAGAGAAGCCCCATATACCATTTCCATCATCTAAGAATTTAAACATTAGGCTAGGAAGAGAATATATAAACATACAAAAAACTGATAAGATAATTAAATGATAATGTAAGATAACCATCATAAGATCACAACGCATAGCACTAATGCAAAGTATCTGTTACATGACTGAACTCCCAAGCAGTGAGTAAGTAGACAGGTATAGTGAAAAGAGCTATACCTGTAGCATTGTGAATTAAAGGATGTGGATTTCAAGTCTTGATTTGAAAACTCAAGTACTACTTGACAAATCATTTTATCTAACTCTCACTTTCTCTGTCAGTATAATGATGATGGGTTAGTGCTTCTCAAACTTTAATGCAATATAAATCACTTGAGGATCTTATTAAAAATTATGATTCTGATTCAGTCATTTGTATTGGAGATTCTGCACTTCTAATATGCTCCAAGGTGTGCTGATGCTGCTGCTGGTCTAAGAATCTACTTTGAGTAACAAGATACAAGACGATCTCTAAGATCTCTTTTCACTGTATGAGTTAGATTGGTAGGGCTGTGCATTTATAAGAAATTGAGCTAGAGCTGGACATTGAAGGAAAAAACTACTTGAAAGAAAACATTTCAGGCAAAGGAAAGAGCGTGTCTGAAAGCCCAGAGGCAGGAGTATGCAATAAGTACTTAACAAAAGCAGTGATCAGGCTACCTTGGCTCAAACCAAAGGTTCATGTATGAGAGAAATGAGAGGCCCTACAGGAATGGATACCCTATCACATCTGACCTTCCATTCATTTTGCAGCATCAATATACTTAAAGTCCAAGGCAAAGCAGGTTTAATCTATAGCACCACCTAGAATAAGATTTACATTTCCCAACCTCCCGTTGGCCAAACGTTGCCATGTGGTAAGTTCTTCCCAATGGGACAAAAGCAAAAGAGGCTTATGTAATTTCTGGGAAGTGTCCTTAAGAAGAAATAGCATGTTTTTTCTCTCCTTCCTGATGCTTGAATACAGATGTAATGACTGGTTCCAGCAACCACCTTGGACTATACTGATGAGAACTCAATCTAAGCATGGCAGAGTAGATGAAAAGGCACCTGAATCCCTGACAAATTGTGGAACTGCCTTACTAGCCATGAACTTTGAACCTCCAGACTTTTTGTGTGTGTTTAAGCCACTATTAATTTTGGTTTTGTTTCAGGCAGTAAAATTTAATTTTTCAATAGACTTTGTTTTTTTATACTATATTTTGTTAACAGCAAAATTGAGCAAGAGGTACAGAGATTTCCCATAATCAAGTTTAATTTTGAATTATTCAGGAGCCACTGCAGTTTTGATACCTAATGGAACTTAAGAACAAACATCCTGATCATTAGCACTACCTAGATTTCCTAAATCTTGCTTTTTCTCTCTGTCTCACCTGTCTTTGTTTCTTGTTTCTACTTTTGTTATTTCTTTTTTTCAAGATTATACGTATTTACTTTTAGACAGAGGGAGAAAGAGATGGAGAGAAACACCAATGTGAGAGAGAAACATTGGTCAGTTGCCTCTCACACGTGCCCCCAACCAGGGACCTGGCCCACAACCCAGGCATGTGCCCTCGCAGGGAATCATACTGGCAACCTTTCAGTTTGCTGAATGATGTGCAGCCCACTGAACCACACCAGTCAGGGCTTTGTTACTTCTTTTTTTAATATTCATTGCCTGGTCAATCTTTTTTGTTTTATAGATTTCAATTCCAGGCACTCTTTTTTTAAAAAAGATTTTATTTTTAGACAGAAGGGAATGGAGGGAGAAAGAGAGTGAGAGAAACATGAATGTGAGAGAAAAACACGATCTTATGTGCCCCAACTGGGGACCGAACCAGCAGCCTTTTGGTTTGGAGGATAACACCCAACCACCTGAGCCATACTGGTCAGGGCTGTTACTTCTTAATATTGATTCTAAGACCTCAAGTCTTTTACTTTTACTAATTTGTTGGCATATTGTGTTTTAACAATATGGGCATTTTTCTGCCATGTGTTCTTAAAAAACTTTGTGTTCTACAAGATTGCACAATAAAAATAACAGGGCATACAGGAAAATTAGATTCCGTAGTCAAAGCTATGCAACCTGCAAAAGGGCACTAACAAAAAATAATACCTATCCTAATTTTCTTTAAAAATCATCAGCATAAGTAAAAAGACATGTTAAATTTCTAAGAAGTACATACTAGAGTAAATCTAGGACTTTGAAATAAAGGAAGATACCTTGATGGACAGGCTAAAGGAAGGGTTGAGGCTATTGAATTATGGAGACAAGGGCAAAATGCAAAAAGATCTGGGAGAACCATTCAGTAAGCTTCCTAGCTTCTAGGACAGAACAAATGGCCAAATAGAGCAAGAGGAAGAACGTATACCAATATTTATATTCTCTGTTCCTCTGAGTCTTGTTGCATTCAGATGAATACAGTTGAATGTAGGATGTTGCACATATATTTACTTCTTATGTGCCTCATAACAACTACATGAGATCAGTATTACTATTCCAATATTATTATGAAAGTAAGACAGATTAAGTAACTTGCCCATGGTCATGCAGCCAGTCAATAGTTGGAGCTATTATTCAGCCCTTGAAGTTCCAATCTGTATGACAGCAGACCCTATACTTTTTTGTTTGGTTTGGTTTATGTAACAGCTTTATAGAGATATAATTTATATTCATGTAACTCACTTTTTTAAATGTCCAATTTAATAGTTTTTAGTATTCACAGAGTTGTGCAACCATCCTCACAATCAATTTTAAAGCACTTTCATCAACACAAAAAAGGTCAATGCTCTTATGAGTAATATGGACCTGAGTGAATTGAGGTGATTTTTTCTTGTACCTTATATTTTCTTCAAGAGTAAAGCAGAAACTTGAGAGATTTTTACATTTATGATTTTTAAAATATGGCATATTCATTTTCTCCTCCAGTTACATTGGGAAATTATATTGATTTTGGTTATTTAAGTCTGTATAGGGAATTATTAAGGCTAAACTATTTTAGGATATCAGGGAAAAAAGATGTATTAGGATGTGCAGCCAAAATGCCAATAATATTTTATCTGCTGGGAAATTCATTGGAAAGATCTCTTGTGAGTTCAATATCCCAATTGTATAGACAACCTTGCCCATTTCCTAAACCAATTAGGAAATGAGCAAGGTATGGGAAAGGTCAAAGGAGCCAAAAAAAAAAAAGTGCCCAGACTAGCAACAGCAGGAAGTTATCAACACCCTAAGCTTGAATGAGTAAGTGGACTTAGCAGTAACAACCCAGTTAAGAACTTCAGCTATGGAGAAGGGCTGTATGATGAAAGATATAACTTTATAAAAGAATGAAGCCACTTACAAACTGTAGACTAGGAAGGAAGCATTTATATCCTGTGTCTCTCCCCACCTTTGATCTCCTGGCTGAACCCAACCAGAAACTAGAGGGCTAGTTTAGTAGGTTCTTAGAGATCAGCCTCTGAGATTGAAGAACAGAATATAAAAGGCTGGATAATAATATAGAAAAGCAGACATGGATTATACAGCACATGGGCGATGCATGGCAGAGTCTAAGAATCTATGTACTTTTAACCTCATCATTTCCATTTTTAGGAAAATTATATATTTTAAAAATATATATTTTATTGATTATGCTATTACAGTTGTCCCAATTTTTCCCCCTTTGCCCCTCTCTGCCCAATAGCCCCATTCCATTCAGCAATCCTCCCCACCACCCCGCTCTCCCACCTTAGTTCATGTCCATGGGTTGTGCATATAAGCTCCTTGGGTTCTCCATTTCCTCTACCATTCTTAATATCCCCCTGTCTATTTTGTGCCTACCAATATATGCTTCTTAATCCCTGTGTCTTTTCCACCGTTCTCCCCGTCCTGCTCCTAGTTTATAATCCTCCAAGTGATCTTCATATCTATGTTCCTGTTCTGGTTGTTTGCTTAGCTTGCTTTTTTAGATTCAGATGTTGATAGTTGTGAATTTGTTGCCATTTTTAATGTTCATAGTTTTTATCTTCTTTTTCTTAAATAATTCCCTTTAACATTTTATGTAATAATGGCTTGGTGATGATGAACTCCTTTAGCTTTACCTTGTCTGGGAAACACTTTATGTGCCTTTCAATTTTAAATGATAGCTTTGTTGGATAGGCTAATCTAGGTTGTAGGTTCTTGCTTTTCATCACTTTGAATACATCTTGCCAGTCCCTCCTAGCATGCAGAGTTTCTTTTGAGAAATCAGCTGACAGTCTTATCAGAACTCCTTTGTAGGTAACTCTCCTTTTCTCTTACTGCTTTTAAGATTCTTTATCTTTAACCCTAGGCATTTTAATTATGATGTGTCTTGGTGTGGTCCTCTTTGGGTCCAACTTATTTGTGCTTCCTGGACTTGCATGTCTGTTTCCTTCACCAAATTAAGGAAGTTTTCTTTCATTATTTTTTTCAAATAAGTTTTCAATTTCTTGTTCTTCTTTTCCTTCTGGCACCCCTGTGATTTGGATATTGGTACATTTGGAATTGTCCTCTGTCCCAGAGGCTTCTTAGTCTCCTTGTGTTTTTTAATTCTTTTTTGTTCTTACTGTTCTGATTAAATGCTTTCTTCTTCTTTATATTAGAAATCATTAATTTGATTCTTGGCTTCATCCCTTCCACTGTTGATTTCATGTAGATTTTTCTTTATTTCACTTAATGTAACCTTCATTTGTGCCTAGGTCTTTTTTATGCTGTTGTAGTACCCAATGAGTTCTTTGAGCATCCTGATAACCAATGTTTTGAACTCTGCACTGATGGGTTGGTTATCTCCATTTCATTTAGTTTTTTTTCTGGTTTTGTTCTGGTTTTTCATTTGGGCCGTATTTCTTTGTCTCCTCAGTTGGGCAGCCTCCCTGTGTTTGTTTCTGTGTATTAGGTGGAGCTGGTTTGACTCCCTGTCTTAGTAGCGTGGCCTATTGTAGAAAAGTGTACCTGGAAATTGTGTGGGGCACAGCCTTAGGTGATTGCTAGGGCAGGGCAACCCATTTCAATGCTTTGTGGCTCAGTGTGGGGGGATGGCTCACAGAGGGGACTCCATTTGCCTGGCTTCTGGAGTTTTGCCCAGGAAGAAGCTGTCTCCCAGCATTTGCCCTGTTTCCAGTCACTTTACTTATCTCACTGTATGCCACTTGTGGCCTTTCGGCTGTTACCCTGGTGCTGAATTCCAGAGCGGGTGGGTCTGCATAAGTCCTAAATCTGTGCAGGCCCTTTAAAAGGAGTCTGTTGAGAATTGACAGTTTCCTCTGCTGCCCCAGCTGCCACTGGTTTTTACAGGCAGTAGTTATGGGGATTTATATTTCTGGTGCTGGAACCCTGGGCTGCTGGGTGGTCTGGTTTGGGGTCGGGATCCCTTGCTTCAGAGGTATCCCTTGCAATTTTTATCTACCACATGTGAACGTGGACTGCCTGCTCAGCTGCCTCTCCTTTACTCTGTGGCTCCAGGCCTCTCCACCTCTCTCCGAGTCTCCACTCCTCCTACCCTTCTGGATGAATGTGGCTTCTTGAAATCCTTGGTTGTCAGACTTCCATACTGCTTGATTGTCTGATGGTTCTGGGTGATATGTGTTTTGTAGTTTAGTTGTAATTTTTTTTCTGTAGCTGTGCGAGGAGGCAAAGCATGTTTACCTACACTTCCATCTTGACTGGAAGTCAGCTGGCTAGTGGTCCTGGCCATGGACCCTGCAGCAGGTCTGGCACTTGACTGCAGTGCTGCATGACTCATACTTTCTCAGTATCCTCCCTGCGGCAGAGCTGCAGCCATGGCTGCCCTTATCCTGCACCCTCCCTGTTGCTCACAGCCCCTGGCACCACCCCCCAGGAAAAGTACCTTGATAAAACAAGTGGACAAGTACACAAAGATATTCCTTGCATTATAATAGCAAACAATCACAACAAATTTAAATTTTCATCAAAAGGAAACTAGTTCAATAAATAATAATTTATTAACAGTAGGATCCTGTTCATCCATTCAAAAATGAAGTGAATGTACATTAATTGACATGTAAATGTACTCGCTTTATTATTTAGCAGAGAACAGGTTACAGAATACTATGTACATGAATTAACTTTGGTTTAAAAATATTCAAAATAATTTTAAAAATACATAATTTTTCAATTCATTTCTTGAGTGGTGGGGCTATTGTAATTTTTCTCTGTATTTGTTGGAATTTGGTATTTTTTCTACAGTGAATACATGCTATTTGTTAATAAAGATGTTTTAAAATAGGACATATGCAAAATCAGTAATTTTATAATGTCATAGAAAAACAATTACAGGAATGGTGACTCAGATTAACTGTGAATTTGAAGAAATTGTTCCAAGTTCAAATCCAAACTCCCAAAATGAATTCGAGGAAGCCAGCTTGCATGCTTATATGGACTACAGTGAAGTCTTTACACCTATTAGATGTTCAGGAAAATGGCCAGAATTTCCAGGAGAGATCCAAGGTAAAACATTTATTTCCATTTTTATAAAACATTTTTTACTAATATACAGTTTTATTCCAGTGAGTTTGTTTTACTAGATTTAATTTTTTATTTTATTAAAGATACTCACCTACAACAGAGTTATAATTCCTAAGCTTTGCCACATTAGAGAAATATTTTTCTCTTTTATATTAATCCCCTTATTGTAAATTAGGTTTTTGGAGTTTAAATGTGTTGGGCATCAGAATAGCCTCAGAGATTTGATCACAGTTGCTCACAGCACCTGTGTACGGATCTGATGACAAAGCAATCTGGTGTAACATTAAATTAGTATATTATTAAGTGGTGCTTATATTTCATTTTCAAAAATACCCTAAAGATTTTCAATTTTTCTCCCTCATGTAAAATCACAATTCAAAGTAGAGATGGCTAATTTCAGTATTAGGTCAGGAAATTTGTCCAGTTTTTAAAAATTAACCATAAGCAATAATTAAATATTTTATCCAAAATATATTTCAAATATTTCATACTACTAGAGGGTGTGGAATTCTTACCACCTTATAAAAACTTTCTAAGAATTACCTTTCTTGTATGTATAACTGCCTAGCCCCTTTTTAAATAAAAAAAAATTTAAGACTCTGTTATATAATTGCTAAAATAAAAAAACATAAGGCTCTGTTATATAGCTGCTATTATCATTTAAGATATGCCATAGATTGAGCATGAAAAATAAATTGATTCTTTTGTTGCTATTTTATATAGATAACATATATTGTGTATAAATTTTTAGTGTTGGCAAATAGGTATGTGATGATATATAAAGAGTTAAATCCTTCCTATAGTTTCAAAAGAGAGATAGAGCAATTGCATTAAAGACTAAACTTCAGAGCATGATATAGTAGGAAGAGTCTAAATTTGGAATTAGAAGATTTTCATTGTCCAACTCCACCCTTAAAAAGTTGTCCAAGTTTGGGACAGTTACTAAAAATTTCATGGTTTTCAATTTTCTTCTATAATTTCATTTTATTTATTCTTCTAATTTCTTATAAAAATTTTATGTGGGTCAAATTTTATACACACACACACACATAAAGAGATGGTTTGTAAAAAAACAAAAAACAGGCTACCCAAATATAGCTATTATTTTTAATGTGGCAAACTAGAAGCTACTGTTGGCAAATTTAATAATATCTGTTGTCCCCTTCCACTAGAATCAGAATCTTCATTACAATTCACTGAATGAAAATATGCTTGAGTTTCCCAAAACAACAGATTCATAGATACAGAGGACAAACTGATAGTTGCCAGATGGAAGGGAGGTTAGGGGGCTGGGTAGAAAAGGTGAAGGGACTGAGTGCAAATGAGCAGTTACAAAAAGTCATGGGGATGTAAAGTATACAGGATGTAAATATATCCATATATTTGCCTAGAGTCAATAATGTTGACTATGTATGGTGCCATGTGGGTACTAGACTTATAGTGGGGGAGGGTTATTTTGTGAGTTATGTAAATGTCTAACCACTATGCTATACACATGAAACTAATATAATATTGAATGTCAACTGTAATCGAAAAATAAAGAAATATTTTTAAAATGCATATGAATTATTCATATCCTGTATTTTGTTTGGATCTTGTTTCATTAGATCTCCTTCTTTTTAAGGCTGAACATTATTCCCTTGTGTATATATACACCACATTTTCTTTATCCATATCTGTCAACAGACACTTAGGTTGTTCCCATACATGGGCCATTATTTATAATGCTGCAAGAGAACATGGGAATACAGATATCTCTTTGAGATAGTGATTTCATTGGCCATCTGTTTCTTCCTTCACAACATTTATATCTTTTTTTATCTCATTGTGCTGACTGGGACCTCCAGAAGCAATGGCAGTTGCTATCCTTGTCTTGTTTCTTACAGAAAAGGAAATGTTTTAATGTTTTGGCATTAAAAATGATGTAAATACCATTTCATTGTTTATGTCATTTTAAAGGATGACTCATTTTCAATGTTTACATCATTCTCAATGGTGAAATGTTAGAGAATTTACTTTATTGGGTTGAGGAAGCTTCCTTTTGTTCTGAGTTTGCTGAGAGACTTTGATCATGAATGAGGATTGACTTTTACTAATGTTTTTCTACAGCTATTATCTACATCTTTACAGAGTGTCCATCTACTAAAAACTTATAGTCCTATAATCTAAACATAAATTGTTTTACTATGGTGATCATGTTATGTATGCATTACCTTATTTTAAAATATTAATGTTATCTTGGGAACATTTCACTGTATACTTAAGTTTTCTTCAAAAGCATGATTTTTAATGACTGAAGTTTTCTTGTGGTAATTTTTTTTCTTTTAAGAAAAATTTTTATTGTATGTTTCCATTAATGACTGAAGGTTTTAGCCTCATTTATGATTCATACACTTGAGAACACTAATGTTTTTAAGTTCAAATGTGTACATGAATGTATGTTTCATTTCCAATTATTTCATTAAGGTGAATGCTTGGAAAAGGAATTATTTGATATAAGTATTTTTTTACCTATATGTTCACTAGCATGATATGAGAATACCCTGTTCACACCAACCTTATAATTACTAGGTATATTACTATTGATGTTGTAGTAATATATTTATATAATATGATCAGAAAAATATAGTATTTTTTTACTTGCACTTTAAAAACCACTGGAGCTTAGTGGCCATTTACACATTTTTATTTTGTGAAATGATTCTCTTTGTCATTTTTCTATTCTTATATTTTATCTTTATATATGAAAGATATCAATAACTCCAAATCTGTTTACTTTGAATTTAACCAGTCCTGCCAATGTTTTCTTTTCCTTTATGGTTTCTTTCATTGCTTTTATACTTAAAAAATTCTTCCTTGAATTAGATAAATATTTATTCTTGTTTTCTTTAAGATTTTGGTTTAAGTTTAAAACTAAGAATAAGAGGGGCAGCTCTAAGGACCCTAGAAGCAGGACATGACACAGGTGGCACATCTCTGCCACGGGGTCCCAGCATTCCACCTCTGCTCACCTTTTTTCCTACAAGTGAAAGAAAGATGAAAGAGAATACACTGGATGAACGGGAGCAGGAAGAAGCCATTGCCCAGCTCCCATATGTGGCATTCACCAGGTGTGACAGCATCACGTGTCTCACGTGCCAAGGGACAGACTACATTCCAACAGAGCAAGTAAATGAGTTGGTGGCTTTGATCCCTCACAGTGATTAGAGATTGCACCCTCAGAGAACTAAACAGTATGTCCTCCTCTCTGTCCTGCTCTGTCTCCTGGAATTTGGTTTGGTGACTTTCTTCCTGTTTCCACATTCAGTCCTTGTGGATGATGACGGCATCAGAGTGATGAAAGTCACATTTAATAATCAGGACTCCCTTGTAATCCTCACTGTCAAGGCCACCCTGAAAATCAGGAATTCCAACTTCTCTGTGGCCGTGACCAGCCTGCCCAACCGAGTTCAGTAAATGAACATGGTGGTTGAGTCACATGTGACAACTAATAGCTCCCTCATTTCATCTCAGAGCAAGCAACTGGTCAATTTTACCATGCAGGCAGAGATGGGAGGATCATTTTCCTGTGTACTTCTGCATATTGCCCAATATCCAGGTGTACAACATAGTCATCTTCAGGAGAACTTCAGTGAAGATTTCATACATTGGCCATGTGACCGAGAGCTCCTTGGAGATAGATCACTATGTGGATGGTGGAACAAATTCCTCAGGTGTTTAGAAACTGCTCTTGGTTCTTCCATGGCAGCACCTCTCAGAATACACACAGCATCTACTTCCAGGGCCTGAGTCCCATACCTGTCCCTGGTGGTGGAAGCAGAGGAGAAATTTGTTCCCTTAATCCCCAGCACGCACCCTCCTGCCGCTTGGGAGGAAAACTCACCTCCAGGATTATTGATGTTTCTCCAAACCAGCAGAACCACTGCCCAGTACCCAGTCTATGCCCAGCAAATAGTAGGCACTCCAGGTTTGAAGAATTTGATTCAGATCTTTTCAGCTGTTCTTGGAGCTGGTATAATTTGGAAGCATTCCATGGTACTAGGTTATTAACCAGACTGACATGAAGATAGGACTGTTAGTGCAGCCGCACAGAGAGGGGACACTTGAATATATAAAGGAGAGCACAGCCCATTCGATAATGTGAAATTTTTTTGTCTCCCAAATGCCTAGTAACTTTTTTTAAGCAGAACTTTTTTTTCTTGTAGAAAGTATAATTGTTTTTACTAAGAGTCTATGTGGGGTTTGATTTACCCTTCATCCATTGGCTGGAACATGGACTGGGGATTTGGTAGAAAAATAAATCCTGCTTTTGATTCAAACAATAAAAATAAGAATAAGAAATATTTTTCCAAATGTTTTGGCAATTGTCCCAATATCATTATGGAATATTTTTTTCTTTCCCAATGATTAGAAATGCCGCTTACATCATATGCCAAGTTTTTTCTCCACGTTAGAGATTTTTTCTGGATTTTCTATTATATTCTTTGATTTGCCTGTTATTGTGTCAGTATCATACAGTTTTAGCTGTCTAATATAATTATAACATGTATTAATAGTCTCCTTTTTATTTTTCCATACTTTCATATCTATAATCTTCCAGATTTACTTTATAACCACTTTTCTAAGTTCCAAAACAGACCTCTTGAGAAATTTAATGTTATTGGGACTTCTTAGAATTTTTACTTTAGTTTTTTTAAGCCATGAAAGGGTTTATCTTGCCTTTTAAGGTTTTTTAAAAAATTATCCTCATTAAATGGTTCCTCCATATACTTTTTGCACATTTTTGTTATGTTTGTTACTCAATATTTGTATATTTGTAGCCATAATGAATTTTTCCATTATTTTTTAAACTCAGTTTTTATATATATTTGAAAACCATTGATTTTATAATTTTGACCAGCACCTTAGGGAACTTCATTTGTTTTTATTTAGTTATCTTGTTTTTTTCAGGTATCTTCTGCAAAGAATAAACCTGTCTTCTTTTCTATTAGTAGACCTCTTTTTTTTCTGCTTCTTTTCACAGTTAACTGGCAAAATTTTCTTTCCTTGAAATAGTTTAACATTCCTCTACAATAGAGGAAAATAGTCTCCCCATATTTGTGCTGGTACATATAATAGAAGTAATAAAGTCAGAGCTCCAGGGAAGGCTGTATAGCCATAAGAATATAAGGAAGTAGATTTCCTTTGCTGTACAAAAAATTTTAGTTTGATGTAGCCGCATTTGTTTATTTTTTATTTTGTTTCCCTGGCCTGGGGAGCTATATTTGATTTAAAAAATTGCTATGAGCCATGTCCAAGAATTGCTGTCTGTATTTTCTTCTAGGATTTTTATGGTTTGAGGTCTAACATTTAAGTCTTTGAATTTATTCTTGTGGTCTAGAAGGTGGCCTAGTTTTATTTTTCTGCATGTATATGTCCAATTTTCCCAACACCATTTGTTTAATAAACTATCTTTAGCTCACTATATGTGCTTGCTTCCTCTGTCGAATATTAATTGACTATAAAGATGTGGGTTTATTTCTGGGCTCTCTATAATGTTCCATTTGATCTATGTGTCTGTTTTTATGCCACTAGCAGGCTATTTTGATTACTATGACCTTGTAATATAGTTTGATATTAGGTAGCGTGATTCCTTCAAATTTGTTCTTCTTTCTCAGGATTGCTGTTGCTATCCAGGGCCTTTTGTGGTTCCAGATAAATTTTTGAAAGATTTGTTCTATATCTGTGAAATATGTCCTTGGAATCTCGATAGGAATTACATTGAATCTATACATTGCTTAGGGTAGTATGTATATTTTATGATGTTAATTCTTCCTATCCATGAACATGATACATGCTTCCACTTAATTTGTATCTTCTCCAATTTCTTTCTTCAGTGTCATAATTTTCTGACTATAGATCTTTTACATCCTTGATTAGGTTTATTCCTAGGTATTTTATTCTTTTTGGAGCAATTGTGAATGGTATTGTTTTCTTAATTTCTCTTTATGTTAGTTCATTATTAGCATATAAAAGTGCAACTGATTTCTGGATATTAATTTTGTACCCTGCTACTTTGTTGAATTTATTTATTAGTTCTAGTAGTTTCTTGGCAACCCACAGAATGGAAGAACATGTTCACTGATACATCTGATGAGGGGCTAATATCCAAAGTTTATAAAGTACTTACAAATCTCAATACCAAAAAAACCCAAACAACCCAATTAAAAAATGGGCAAAGGATCTAAATAGACACTTCTCCAAGGAGGAAATACAGATGGCCAATAGACATATGAACAGATGCTCAATGTCACTAATCATCAGAGAAAAGCAAACTAAAACCACAATGAGATACCATCTCACACCTGTCAGAATGGCTATCATCAATAAATCAACAAACAATAAGTGCTGGCAAGGATGTGGGTAAAGGAGAAGAACACTTTTGCACTGTTGGTGGGAATGCAGACTGGTGCAGCCACTGTGGAAAGCAGTATGGGATTTCCTCAAAAAATTAAAAATGGAACTGCCTTTTGACCCAGCAATCCCACTTCTGGGAATAATATATCCAGAGGAAATATAAACACTAATTTAAAAGAACATAAGCACCCCTATGTTCATTGCAGGGTTATTTATAATCGCCAAGATATGAAAGTAGCCCAAATGTCCATCAATAGATGAGTGGATAAAACTACTATGGGCCATTTACACAATGGAATACTATTCAACTGAAAAAAAAAAAAGGAAATTTCACCCTCTGGGACAGTGTGGATGGGCCTGAAGAACTTTATGCTAAGTGAAATAAGCCAGTCAAAGAAAGATAAATACCATATGGTTTCACTCATATGTGGAATCTAATGAACAAGTGAACTCACAGGGAAAATGGGGACAGACCCATATACATAGATAGAGAACAGGATGATAGCTGGGTAGGGGGAGGTTAGGGGATGGAAGGACTGAGCAAAAAGGAAAAGGACTCATGGACATGAACAACAGTGTGGTGATTGCTAGGGGGAAGGGTTATAAGGGGACTAAATGGTAATGGAAAAAATACAATAAAGATTAAATTTTAAAAAGAATATAAGGAAATAGTACCCTTGGTTAAAAACAAACTACTTTTGTAGTTATAAAGAACATTAATTGCGGTGTTATGCTGCCATCTAATGGCTTAATCTAAAAAGCGTGGTTGGAAAATAAGAATGTCCAGATGGACTCCCAGTAATAATACCAAGAGGAGCCTATAGGAAGGGAAATGAGTAGAGGGCCTGAGTTTAAAAATGAAATGTGAAAATGGGGATACAAACAAATGCTGTTTGGGTTTTTACTATTAATATAACTTCATTAATATTTACAGAATGAATGTACAAATGAACTGTCTTTTTAACTTTTATTTTTTATTTCATTGTTCTTCAAGTACAGTTGTCTCAAAATATGCAATGTACAGCAGCCAGGACCATCCCTTTGCCTGCTGCTAACTTGATGTGTCAGAGGAGAGCTTGTTATATAAACTAGCCTCCTAAGAGATTGTTTATCTGAACCTGTTAAGTTCCTGACAATCTTGTGGTCCAGAGCTTCCCCTTACACACTAAGAAAACTAGCCATGAGTTCCATATCTAAACAGGGCATATCTGAGAAAATTTAAAGATGGTTCATTTGTATTGACCTGGAAATTCCACCGTTGAGATGGTCCCGGCTGCTGTACATTACATATTTATTAAGTGTATACATACCAATGGGTCATTGGAGGCATCACTCCATGCTATCCCTCTCTGATACCATTCTAATATTATCAATACTTAACTGAAATACCACTGCCCAGAACAAGAGACCATTGCTTCCCTTCAAGGTGTCTTTTGCTTTTGGGAGCTTGGCTTTCTGAGGTAGTTGAGGAATGGGTCCAGGTTTTACATTTCTTCCCTTGGTTTCAGAAACTCTTAAAGCCCTGCTGCAATTAGCTAAGATTCTAAAGTAACCCAAACATGGTAGGATGGGGATAGAGAGGAGAAATTTATTCTAGGAATTAACTGTTAGTTGTAGTGTTTCCTAATATGTAACATATATTATACTTCTCAAGTAGATCCTTTGCTCTATATCTTTCACTGTACCTAATTTTATAGCAACATATTTAAGTAAGAGGCTGACGGTGACCAGAGGGGAGAGGGGAGGGAATTTCAAGGGAAAAGGGTGAAGGGTTTGCAGAAACAAGTATAAAGTACACATGGACAATAACAGGGCCGAGTAGATGGAAATGGGAGGGAGGTAGGGAGGGCTGGGCGGGGGTGGGGGGGGCAGAAACTGTACTTGAACAATAATTAAAATTTAAAAAAAGAGTGAATCAAAGCTAGTCTCACTTGTAGCCCTTGCAGACCATCTCCATTTGCTATGTCAGAGTCTCTGGGGATAAATTGGAGACCTTAAGAGACCTTGCAGAGAAGAAAAGACTATAGTCATCAAAAGTCAAATGCTATTATTTCTTTACAATTTGTCTAGGCTACTGTTGGCTATTTTGAAGTATAAGACCACAAGAGATTTCCCTCTACTGATTAATTTTTGTTGAAAAATTATGTCATTATAACTCTCAGGATATTTAGTTACTACTCAGTGTACTAAATGATATTAAAATTTATTGAGCTTTTACTATTTACCACTACTATTTATCTGTTTTATATGTGTAGTACAAGGAAGAGCTAAAGAATTAAAAATGTATTTGAAAACTCCAGCATTATCTAATGGCTCGATAGTGTCTAGATCCTTTTGTATAACTTTCAGATTTTATTCTTTTATATGTCTTATTTCTTTTCAGATTTGTTATTTGATCATGAAGAAATACTTTTTGCAGATAATTTGACTGCCTATAAAAGTCATCTACCAACATCGCGTACTTTGTTGAGTAAGATAAAACCATTTTTGCTAGAAGACCCCCCTTTAGACTTCAAAGAACAGATCTTCAAAGAAGCTAATTTTTTCGGGTACTTAATCGCCCAATGTTGTAAATATTTTAAAAGGAGAAAATATTCTCTTTATACTTATAGGTCTAGATATTACCAATAATAATATCTTATCAGTATTCTACTTTAATTCTAATTTTAATCATTGTGTAGTTTTATTGGCTGCATTTAGTGTGCAAGTTGCTATTAGTAAGCACTAATTTAATGTTTTATTTTTTGTTAAGGGAATGTTTCTCTTACCAAGGAGATTTGAAAGATCTTATGAAAGAAGATTTTTACATAGCTAAAGAGAACTTTTGTCGGGAGGAGCTAGAAGATACGGTAGGTTTAAATGAAGCTATAGTACCTGCTTTCAGTAATGTTTATAAAAGTGGTAAAGCATACTTTAACAAAATTAGTAATATATCTTGACTTGATAATGGGTTGAAAGCGTGTCAGCTTAGACATTAAATTTACTTCTAAGATAGTGGTTCTAAACCTTGGCAATACATTGGAATTACTTGGGTAATTTTAATATAATACTGAAGCCTGGGTTCTACCCAGATACATTCTGATTTAATGGGTTTGGTGTCCAGCCCAGTTATAGGGAATTTTAAAACCTCTCCCAATCATTTTAATCATTGAACCTGGTATAGGACATTAAGTGATCGTGTGGACATTAAGTGACCATTTTCTATTTAAAAATTGGAGACTGGAGGTAAAAATGTTTATTTGTGAGTTATACACTTGAAATATATACTTGAGCTGATTTCATTGAAAGAATAAGGATGGTCTGAGCATACATTTTAGGTGCTGCCAGTGATTAATAAGGAAGATAGCATCTTTATACATTAAAGGTCAGTCTTTTCAAAGGCAGTCCCTCTGTTTTAGTATACAGTTCCAATTGCACACAAAGGTATTGTATGATGTTAGTATTGCATGTAAAGAATTCTAGCAGTTGAGAGCGTGAATTACTTTTCACAGTAATAAGCTAAAAAAACTAGACCCAGGTAGATTAGATGCATTTACAAAATTACTTTAAACATTTTTTTCAAACTGCAAATGTTTTATATTTGGGGTTTTTCTTAAAACATTCAAAGGAAATATAGATATAGAGTAGTTATAGATAAAGATATACAGATACAGATATAGAAGTCTTAAGGCATTTAAAGGGTCTCCTTACAATTAAAAATGTTAACAGATATGGTAAAAATATTAATTTACCTATTAACTCCTTTACTCCATTTCCCCTCTTGCTCGCCCATTAACTTTGAGAGTTGAGGAATTCAGTTCTGTAGGAATGAAAGGGAAACATTCCAGGGAGTGCAGTAAAAATCCATTCCATTCCATCTCCCCCTTTTCATTTCTCCTCATTCACCACTTCTCATCTGCTCTAGTGATGGTTTTTAACTTAGAATTTTAAAAGTTTATTAACCTAAAAGAAGATATTTCTGCATCTAGGGATATTGTACATCACTCATGTAATCAGTGTCCATAAAGGACATTACTCAGAACATTGCTTATTATGTAGCATAATATATTTTTGGCTGCTGTACCTCCATTTTTTAAATATATGCATAGCATTAAATTTTTTGAGGGTGGGTTTAGTTTAAAATTTGGTATACCAATTAAACAAACATGTCTGTTTATGAATTCAGAAATCTTTATTTGGAAAACCTAACTAAAAACGTTTTTAAATTATATATTATCTCAGCCGTTATTTTTGCTTGACTGGGAAGTAGTACCTCCAACCTTCAAACAAGAAGTTGATATTCCATCATTTTCAGAATTGAAGGAGTTATTAAATTTGATGCCAGAAGTAATAAATTATGAAGATGAGAATGAAAAGCTTTTCAAAAGAGGTAAGACTTAATTTAAAAAATTATTACTTATAGCCCTGGCTGGTGTAGCTCAGTGGATTGAGCTCAGGCTGTGAAACAAAGTGTCGCCAGTTCGACTCCGAGTCAGGGCACAGGCCTGGGTTACAGGCCAGGTCCCCAGTGTGGGCCATGTGAGAGGCAACCACACATTGATGTTTCTCTTTCTCCCTCCCTTCCTCTCTCTCTAAATAAATAAATAAAACCTTTTTAAAAACTTATTACTTATAAAAACTATTTAATAATGTTTCTTATAAAAATTCTTGTTCATTAAACTTTTTTCTGAACCTCTAGAGTTTTAAAGAGTGTTCTGCAGCTAATATGGTGAAATTTCAGAATTATTGATGAGACTCTTCTCATCTTTCTTTTTATATGCTTACAAACCTAAAATATCTCTGAAAATAATCTAATTGTTTGAACACAAATAAATCGAAGACATTTATGACTATACTGACTTTTTTAGTTGTTTTTTTTTATAGAATGACGAAGCCTAACAACTTACATGCTAACTTTAGTTAGGTAGAGAAGGCTCCGAGTAAGTTTATGATGCATGGAATCAGATGGCTGGTAGAGTCATAACCTAAAACTTAGATGGTTTCATCCCAGATGGACTTAGTAAATATTGTTGAATTCTTTGTAGTGACAATTTCAGCCCAAGTATTTAACTCCCCTCTTATAAATTGCAGTCAAAATGATGAAAGACATATAATATTAGCAAGGAGTGAAGGGGATTTGTGATATCCATTGAGAACAGGGGTGCTTGCTATCTGTAGAGTACAAACTTGAAGGGATTCTTGAATACAAGACTCGATCAGGGGAATGATCAGCCTACAAATCAAAGCAAGGGATTGAAAAGCTGACCTGAGTAAATGAATCTAATCTATACTAAGATTTGAAAGTATAGCAGAGCTCAAAGTTGCAGGGTGGTATGGGCTTTTCAGCAGTACACAAATCTAGGAATGCTAATGGAAAGACGAGTGAATGAGATTACCAAAAAATCTAATACACTAGCACTTTGGCTGATAGTAGACTTTCTTCCTTTTCTTTTTAGATGTTACAACTAACCATGGAATTGACATTGAGCATATAAAATGCAGCTCCACAGACATTTTGACCATTCAAAGCCAATACGAAACAGAGAGCAATGAACCAGGTGGAAATTTTGGATAAATCATTGAGTTTATTAGAGGTTACCTATATATGATGTGAAAGTACAATGCATTTACTTACAAAGTCTATGAGACAATTTTCACGTTTAAAATTTGATTATTGTAACCCAGGGTGTCATATTTTTCTTTTATCTGTTCCTTTACATTTGTACTATCATTAACTCGTTAGCCTTCTAGCATCAAAACTGAATAATATACAGAGAGAGTTACAAAGATGGAGGAAGAAAAATGGGGAAATAGCATTAATATATAAAAAATAAATCTTATAACATAACTCAGTAAATAAAATTTTATATTTTCTCTCAGAATAAGCAATCTTGCTAATCCCTTTTATATTTTTGTAAATTTAACTTTTTTAATCTCCCAAAGTAATCCTATCATTATTGTTAATATATAATTTTATCAAATTTGGAATCTTAGCATCATCTTTTGATCCAGTATAATGCTAAATTGTGTTGCTTCTTAACTATGTTGATGATACTCTTATTTAGTTACATTTACAGTTAGATTACGTAAATCATCTATTTGGAAGTTTACTTCTTTATTTATGAAAGTTGACAGAAACATACTATTTATGAATAAATGAGGATCAGTTTGTCAAGCCCATCCTATAAATACATAACTCTGCTGGGTCACCTAGACTCCAGACTTTTTAAGGTGGAGGATTACCCACCATTAATACTATTTACTTAGCATCACCAGTATATACTATGCAGAGTACTATCCTCTAAGTACTGACAACACAAGTCATAAGAATTAAAAGCATAATCACACATGGAGCTCTTAGAATTTATCTCATAGAGCAAACTCAGTAAAGTTTAGTTGTCAATGGATTTTTTGAAAACCACCAATATCACAGTTGAGACACCAGGTGATGTATGTGTAATTCCTTGTGTAGATGGAAAAGTAAAACAGTTATTTTATATTTCAAGTAACCCAAGTTTTTATTGAAAGTTTTTGTTGAACATAATAACTGCTAGCAAAAAGTTCTACATTATATGTAATTTTATTCAATGTTTATGTAATATTATGATTTTTAAAATTTTGTGTATTCCAGAAAAGTTAGAAGAAGAGTTAGAAATGCCACTATCTCCTCTACACCTAACGAACCAACATTCTTCTGTGAATTCATTATGTACAGAGCTTCAGATGTTTCCATTTTCTACTATTTGTAAAATGTAAGTAAGGATTACACCTAGAACTCAAATTGCAATTCAGATCAAGCAGTTTTTAATTAAATCTCTCCATGTAAAGGCAATTTCCAGGATACCTCTGTGAAAGAAAAAAAAGTCTAAGAAATAGAACAGTGCCTACAGCAAGCAACTGAAGGGAATATATTAATATACATGTACATACTTGTTTTTATATGCATAGAATATTTTAGAAAGACACAGAAGTATTAGGTAATGTTAGTTGTGTCTAGAAGGGAACCAGGTAACCTGGAAATATGGGAGCTAGTAGTGATAGAGCCAGGATCTTTTATACTTTTAGTATTTTGAATGTGAATATATTACCATTAAAGATAAACAACTTGAAAAGTTTAAAAGATTCTGGCATTGGAACAATCTGCTTAGGATATTGCCACTGGATGCTTGTCAATGGCACTGCCTCTATTTGGCACTCACTGCCATGAAGGTCAGCATAGAGGTGTCCTAATTTGCTAGGGCTTCCATAACAAATACCATGACTTAACAGCAGACTTTGTTTACCTCTGTCAGTGTGATATTGGTATTGGGGGAACCAGACAGCACCAAGTATTGATCCATAAATCTGTTCAATACCCCACTGTTACTGTGCAGATGGTCTGTAATCTCGGAACTGTTACAGTAGGACTGTACCATTGTGCTCCAGGTTGAGCCAAAGTTGCATAGCTTAACAACCCAGCATCTTTGCCCTCTGAAGGAAGCCTGAGATAGCTTTGGTTGCTATCTTGTACCATGTGGCATATGTGTAACTTAATATTTTCCAAGTTCAACTCATTTGCTGTCCTGCAATAAAGCTACCCATTCCTCTGCTTCTTATGCCCCTTATGTCCCTTACAAAATTAGGAACATGACTAGTATAGTCCCCTCTTCCTTATGGTAATCCTGGAATTTAATGTGTCCTAAAATAGCACATTTTCAGGGAAAGTACAAAAAAATTACAAGTCTTTCACAAATTTTCCCCAAGAGTGGGAACAGTAGCAGCTATGTGCAGGGTTTTGAGTTCTTACCTGAGATCTGCTGATCTATCAGGAGAGAATGCTGTTCGGTTACTGGGGGCAATTCATCACACACTGCTCAGGCTCCTGTTAGTGGCTTCTGGAAGGTGTCACAGTATGAGATGGAGGAGGCTGACATTAAGGGTCCTACTTGCCTTCATATTCTGGCAAAGAATTATGTACCTCTGTGACACAGAGAACTCTACCATGAATTAGAACTGCCCGTAGCAGACGTGAGCTCTGAACAACAGCATGGGACAAGCATAGAAACCACCTAGAATTTGTCTAAATGCTTTGAGTCCCTTTGCTAAAAGTGCCAGATGTTTATCTGCAAAACTTACACTGTTATTTTTAATGCTCTTTTACTGTTTTATTTATTCCACACTGCTGGATCCGTCTGTTCAAGCAGATTGGCAAACTGAAACAGAAACTAGGAGAAATTAGTGTAATTTTGAATTTCAATCAGATATAAAAAATATTTACTTAAACAATAATAAACTTTTAATCACAGAGGTTATATATCTACTTATTGTTATAACTCAAGCATCTAATGAGAATTTATGAAACTTAAGTCATATCTGTACATTAGGAATTACCAAATTTAAAAAGACTTAAATTAGCCAAGGTACTAAGGCCATCTGAAACAGTTTGAAGAAGTTGTCTCATCACCACTACCTTCACTAACAAGTGGTAAATCACTTGTATTTGGTTTGTGAACTATAAAAAGTTAAAAATCCCTATTTTAAAAATGGATGTATACCTCAACTATGAAATACAGAAAGTATTAAAATTAAAATACAACAGAAGGGAAAAGTAATACATAATAATGTATTTTTTACTTGCTTTTATGGCCCCAATTACTTTTGTTTCAGAACACATTTTGATGGAAACATGCCCAGTTAACACATATTTTCAGTGCCTACCGCATATAAAACTCTATGCTAAATTTTCTGGGGCTAAAAAGAAAAGTCTATGACATAAGATTTTATTTCCATGTCAACTGATTACTGAATTGTGAATATATTTTTATGTATGACCAAAGAAGATATCAAATTCAGAAAGAGTCTTCAAAGATTTCCATTAAGAATGAGAATATTTGTCTATATTATGGTCTCCTGTTGGACGTGGCTTGCCTAAATATTTCCCCTTCCTTTTCACTTTAAAATAATTGCCTACAATCTGAGAAGTCTATTTGCCAAAGGCCTTGGTAAGGTTCAAGACTGTCTAGATTCTCAGATTTTGCCACTGCTTGCCAGATTTTGGATTATGTGGGTAAATTGGATGATTTAGACATCAAACCTAGCTTTCTGCTGCCAGGACGGTCAATTGTAGCAGTACTTATAACTAGCATGCTCATACATGTTTCACATGAACAGAGACACATACCATCAACTCTCACTTAGAAGGGAGTAGAAGGTTTGGGGGACTAGACAAAGGGGGTTGTGAGTTAATGCCCACTTCCCTACCAAGGCTAGTATCTCCATAATTGTTGATAGGCTGTAATTTACATGGATTGTTTGCATAATCCTCCCTTCAGTGCCCCAAAATGTGCAAACAGACACTCTTTGCTCACTCACACACCCGCCAAGATTGAAGGCCTGAGCTAAACTGCAGGACCTGTCACTTCCTGAGAAGGGAGAGCAGACAGAACTTTTTCATAGTCTGATCCTCAGCCAGTAGAGACTCCAAAATTTTGGTTTAGAATGAACTTGGGGATAGCAATTATGTAAAAGTTTGTGTTGAAACTACTATTTTGTGTGGCAAGGAGAGTAATTTTACTTGCATCGTATTTTTATTTCGAGTGACATAGGGTTGGTGCTAGCACATTTTATAGAATAAAGTGCTAAAACCCTTTGAGCTCAGGCTCTTTTGGCTCCAGGTTCACTGAGGGAGATAGAGGGAGGAGTAAGTTATAAACAGGCAGGAGCATTTGAAGAGCTGACAAATTGCCAAACCCTCCCAGGGGAGAAAGAAGTATTTGAAATTTGGTCTATGGAAGTCTCTACCTCAGTTTACCCATTTATAAAATAGTTAATATTTCACTTTGCTTTTTAGTGAGAAAAATACTTTTTGTAAAAGAAATTTTATTATATAAAAACTAATATTATTAATGTATTAAACTTTTACTTTTTTCAGTAATTTGCTTACTTCTGAAAAATAAGCTGATGAATACTACACACACTGTGGCAATGAGAAAGCCACAGAAGCTTTTTGAACTCAAGTTTTTTTTTTTTAATTATAGAGGGAGGGGAGAAGAGGGAGGAAGAGAAAGTGAGAAACATGAATGTGAGAGGGAAACATCCACTGGCTGCCTTCCACACACGCCCCAAGGGACTGAACCTGCAGCCCAGGCCCATACCTCAACCAGGAATGGAACCCACAACCCTTTGGTTCACGGGAAAACGCCTAACCAACTGAGCCATACCAGCCGGGGCTTGAACTCAATTTTGCTTCCAGGTAAAGATTAATTGATTTTGAATGCTAAATAAAATGTACACACAAAAATGTACAGTAAGTAGAAATGTAATTGTCCATTTCATTGTGTTTATTATTACCATCATTATAAAAAACATAGTTCCAAAATTAGAATTTTAAAATTCATAATCCTAATTTTGGATTAATGTTTATAATACAGGTAATAATGTTACATAGTCATACTAGTTCAGTTCCTCTATTAATTATGATTTGTCTCTATTTAGGGTAGCAGTATTAAAGCAGAAAGCTCTGAGCCAAAATATCTAAGATGATAGTCATTGTAGTAAAATCTGATCAAATATATCTTCTTGTTTAGGTTCATTATAATGAATTGGAATTTCTAATTGAATAAATCATATCAATTCTTCAAAATGTTATCAAATGTACTAATCTGGTCAAATCATAGTTCCATCTCCTACTAAATATTAGAATAATTTTAACTTCATAATATTTCCACAGATTGAAATAAACCTTTTATGTGAATACTATTGGTATTTTAGATTTTTGTAAATATTGGCTTCTTGAAGATGAAATACCAGATATAACTTTACTTCATTTTTTTCCTAATGTGTGAAAATTTATTTCATAAGAAATTTTCAGTGGTTCTGTTTATTGTATTTTTCATCTCTTTTGCCCTATGAACTGTTACAGACTATTTGTTTTTTGAGTTGTTGTTTTTTAAGTGCCAAGAACTGAAAAACCCAACAATCAATATTCAGTTACAGATTTGAAAAAGATATTTTCTTTTTTTAATTGTATTTTATTGATTATGCTATTACAGTTGTCCCCATTTTTTTGTCCCTATACTCCCCTCCACCCTGTAGTAATAGTAGTAGTAGTAAAAAGAGAGATATGCTGTATTTTTATTCTTTAAAATTTTTATTTTATTCAGACCAAAAACTGACTTTCAAAGCAGTAAACAAAGTACTCCTAAGTATCAAATTATATCAATAATTTGTTACCCTAATACCCTAATAAGACACTCATATAAGCATGGAAGTAATTTGGATATTTTTATTCTGTTTTCAGCATGGCTAGACCATAAAAGTTGTTCCTCATCTGCTGCACTTACTGACGAAGATTCTACAAATAATAATTTATCATTTCCACAAAAAAGTCCATCTCCAGGAAAAGAAATATGTTTTTCTGATAAATATATCTCTGTTAAAAGTCCAACAAAGGAAGAAAAACCGAAGGATGATTCAGAACTAGTTTATAGACTAATCCAAAATAAAGAAAGTAAAGATTGCTCAGAACTTGATTGCACAATACTATCTACTGGATCATCTTCAAAAATTGAAAAACCTTCTTTTAAACATGGTAAAAAAAGGGAAAATGACTTGGACCTGTTGAATGACTTCATTATGATGCGAAATAAACATAAAATTTTCACCTCAAACACTGAAGTTACAGATAGTGATGAAAAAGATGGTAGGTAATTTAGTAATATTTTGGCATAGCTATGATCGTTTAAGGACTATATGTATAATTTATTATAGACAATAAGAAAATAAAGGTCTTCCAGATAGAAAATATTATATTTCAAAGTCAAAGAAAATGTCACTGATTCATGATACTTATTGTGCATGGATAAAGATATGGATATAGATATAGATGTAGATGTGTATTTTCAAAAAAAATTTTAAATTACATTTAAACTTGTAAGAAAAGTTCCTGTTTGTAAACCTTACTTTCTATAACTTATTCATACAGATTTATAATATTTCAAACTTTTTTATTATTCTGCCATTCTTTTTTCTCTTTTAGCTGACAGTTCTATCTCAGTATTTTAACTTATATTTTAGTGTATACTTAAGTACACTTTGCCCAAATGATTGCTTATTAGTCTTTTTTACCTTTACCAAAGTCTTTCTGAGTTATAACTATTTTACATTCTGCTTATAACAATATCAAAAGTAGTATAATGTCATATCATTTCACTTCTGTTTAAAAATTGGTATTCTAGAATATGTTTAACATACCCAGATGAAATAACTGCAAAAATATGTGTAAGAGAACATATTTAGGTCTTACTGTTCTATATACTATTCATGTACGCAAAATCTTGTCCTTGAATCAATTATAAAATAAGACAAGAAGTAAAATATATACCAAAATATCATCTCTATTACTAATGAAGGTTAGGTCAGAAAAAGGAGCTTAGTTTGAGAGTCAGATGGCTTGCTAACTAAACATCAGAATTGGGCAGAGTTACCTACTCAGTCTCAAGCTATATTGGACTGGGACAGGATTCCCCACGATGGGATGGAAGGACTGCTTGGGAAAGATTCATGACATAGAGAAATAAAAATATGTGGAAAGTCACAGAGCAATGGAGTAAAGTAGAAGAGTACATGTCATTTTAAATGTTGAGTACTATACTTGGTGTGTAATCCTTACAACAATATTCAAAGTAGGTATATTATCCATATTTTACATATGAGGAAACTGAAGCTGGTGTCAGACTGAGGATGAAACACTGGTGTAATGTCAAAGTTCTTTCCATTATTACCATTTGACTTTCTACCCAGTACAGTGGTAGGTTCATTCACCCAAATCGTTCAATTTAATACTGATGTGTTTCAAAGAACTTTAACAATGTTGATCATAATAGAAAAAAGCATTTAAGTAGAGCAACAGTATTTCTTCTGAATAATGCTAATTAATATTTTTATTAGAATTTCAAAATAAAGAAGAAGATTCTTTGACTATTCAAGAAGAAAGTCCTATTGTTTGTACTAATAAAACTCTAGAGAAAATAAATCAGGAAAGGGGAGCAGATAATGTCATTGAGATTCAAGCATCAGGTATGTTATATACTTTTTTAAATCATTTTTTACTGTTATTCTATTACAGTTGTCCCAATTTCCCCCTTTGCCCTCCTCCACCCATCCCACCCCCTACCCCCACAGTCAATCCCCATACCATTGTCCATTTCCATGGGTCATTCATACATGTTGTCTAGTCCTTTCCCCGTCCTTCCACCATTATCCCCCTCCCCCATCCCCTCTGGTCACTTTCAGTCTGTTCCATGTTTCCATGACTGTGGTTCTATTTTTTTTTTTTTTGTTAGCTTATTTTGATTCCTCTGATAGGTGAGATCATATGGTATTTGCCTTACCCTGCCTGGCTTATTTCACTTAGTGTAGTATTCCCCAGTTCCATCTGTGCTGTCATGAAGGGTAGGAGTCCCTTCTTTCTGTTGCATAGTATTATATTGTATAAATGTACCACTGTTTTTTGATCCACTCATGTACTGATGGGCACTTAGGTTGTTTCCAGCACTTGGCTATACATAGATCAATGGAAAGGAATAGAGAACCCAGAGATAAACCCAAGTCTCTGTGGTCAATTAATATTTGACAAAGGGTGCAGGAGCATACAATGGAGTAAAGACAGCCTCTTCGATAAATAATGTTGGGAGGACTGGACTGGTACATGCAAAAAAATGAAACTGGACCACCAACTTATATCATATACCAGAATAAACTCAAAACAGATAAAAGACTTAAATTGTGATATTACCACATTTTTCAGACCATAAGATGCACCTCAGTTTTAGAGGAGGAAAATAGGAAAAAAATTTTGAAGCAAAAAATGTGGTAAAATATTTAATAACATAAATAACATAATATTTCACCAATGTAAATGTAAACAGAACTCAACAGCAACATTAACAACCATTATTCCTCCCAAATTGGGGGGAGGGTGCATCTTATATTCTGAAAAATACAGTATATGCTTTTAAGATACACTCAAATTAAGTTAATTTGAAAGCCCTTTCCTGGGTATCTAGGATATACCTCATTTTCCAGGTAGCTTTCTTTACTTGTTTTGGATATTTCTTTATTCCACTTCTACTTTCAAGTTATTTCCCAATCTGCAAGGCCCTATTCACTGCTTCTGCCTTCCCCTTCACCCTACTCCAGTCCACTACGTGTTATTTCTTCTCTGAAACTGCTGCTTCCCTACATTAAAACAGGGGAGAGCAAACAATTCAGGCTCTTGTGCCCAGTCTAGAAAATGATCTGCTAGTGGTTGCCTTTTCTATTCCCTCACCCACTATCAGAATGTTGTAAATAAGCTTTATTGATTCCTCTGCTGATTAAACTTTTTGTTCTGCTATAAGGAAGAATATTCTTTGACTCCTAAAGAACAGCCTGCTTCAGAATATCATGGTCATTATTAAAGTCAGTAAGAAAATACGATAGTAGTTCTTGAATATTTTTTCATTCCCTTGGTTCAGTTTTACTTGTGACCTTTAGGTGATTATGCAAGTCTTTAAAATTTGGTATTCTGGTGAAAATCAGAAACAATTCGTTGTTATAAATTTGTTTGGCTTATGGTTGTAAGCTAATAGTTGAGAGAAAAAAATGTTCATTTCTCTTTATATGGCTCTTCATAGTTGTCATGTTGTTAGTTACTGAATAAATCCTTTCTAATAAATAAGGTAGCCATGCAATTATACTAATTGTACAGGGAAGGTGTTTTGTTTTTACTAGTTTATTCAGCACAAACATCTTAAAGTAGCTTTAATACAATCTTATGTACAATATTGTGGTTTTTAACTCAGTAAAGAATTTAGAGTTCAGTCTTCCATAGAGTAATATGTTAAACTGGTTTGTCAAAGAGAGCACACAGTCTCTATAAAAACACTGCCTTTAATGCTTTTATTTTTACAGAGAGCCAGTGCCAAGCATACTGTGTCCTAGAAGCAGCAGCTACTCCTATCTTAAACAAACTTGGGTGCCTCTGTACTCTCCCTGTTGCTAATTGGAAATTTGCCACTGTTATTTTTGACCAAACAAGATTCCTCTTAAAGGAACAAGAAAAAGTAGTAAGTGATGCTATTCATCAAGGTGAGTGCAAATGTAAGTTACACTATTGAAAACAGTATACATTTATAGATTATGTATCAAATTAGTAAAAAATATAGAATATGCAGAAATTAATAATGGATGAAGGCAGCATATGGCACCCACACACCCAAACTGGAGAATCAGCTAAGTAAGGAGCAAAGGGTAAGAGATATCATCTGGTGTTGCTTCCTAGTGAAGCTCCATTGACATGTACAGGGTGGGGCAAAGTTAAGTTCACAGTTGTTTTTATGGAAAATAATACAATAATTAATAAGTAATAATAGAAAACTAAACTGTGCTCCACACACTCAAAATTGTAAACCTACTTTTGCCTTACACTCTATTACTTGACAGATTCCTATTACAGAAACAAAATTAACCCTATTAATGGTAGCATCTGAACCACCTAGTTTCCTTCCAAAAAAAGGAGGGAGGTAAAAAAAATCATATTAAAGTCAATTCTAGACATTTGCTTCTGGCCAAGATAGAGTAACAGGGGTTAGATTTAACCCCCTCTTGGAAATACAGAAAAAAAATGACAAAGACAAAATACATGAGACTAGACTTTTAAGAACCTAGACAGCAAGCAATGAAGAACAGGTGCTCCTGACACATGGCAAACAGGTGACGCAAGTCCTACCATCATTCTAGGATACTGCCTCGAAAGAGTTGCCAGGCCAAGACACAGGTGTCTGCGGCAGAGCCAGTGGGCAGTCCGAGTTAAGGAAACAGAATGGGGAAGCCAGGGAGACCAAGGCAGCTAGAGTTAAAAGGGTAGAGTATTAGAGCAGAGGGCTTTACACAGAGTCTTGGAGATCTACAGAGAGTCTCCATCTCCCTCAAGTATTCAGCAAAATACATATCATAGAGTATATGCGAGGTTGGGGAACTACCTGACCTTGCAGAAACAAAACCATCTGAGAGGCTTGATGGAATGGCACTGTGCATTCACACAGAGCAAAGAATAAGCCACCAGCTGGTCTAGAAAAACTCATACTTTGTGGGGTATTAATTACAATATTTAGGAAAGTTTTGCCTCAGTAGTGAGGAATAATTATCTCTAGACTTGGCACTGCTCTGGATCTGCCTAACAAATTATAAAAGCAAGACCCAAAGGATCAAGCTATTTCCAAGGAACTTAACTGCATCCCAGAACAAAGCTAAAGATTATTTATATAAATACAAAAATAGGTAGCTCCCAACAAGGTAAAATCCACAATGTCTGGCATTCAATCAAAGATTATCAGGCATAGTAAGAGACAGAAAAACACAACCCATAATGAGGTTAATCAATCAAAACAAACTCAGAACTGACAAAGATGTTAGCATCACCAGAGAAAGACACTGAAACTTATAACTGTATCCCAAATCAAACTTCCAGAGACTATACTACAATGTATGAGATGAAAAATGCACTGGATGGGGTTAATAGCAGATTAAATATTGCAGAAGAAAATGTTAGTTAATTTGAAGTTATAGCAATAGAAACACCCAAATAAAACACAGGTAGATAAAAAAAATTTTAAAAAGAAACAAACAAAAAGGTGTCAGTGGGCTGTGAAACGATTTCAAATATTCTATCATACTATCAATTATAGTTCTCAAATAAGATGCAAAATAAGGGTAAACAGAAGAATAAATATTTGAGGAAATAATGACCACAAGATTTCTAAATTTCACTACAAACCCACAGATCTAAAAAACTCAATGAACCCTAAGGACAAGAAGCATAATAAAGCTGCACCAAGGCATATCATAATCAAATTGATCAAAATCAGTAATAAATAGAAAATTTGTAGGAGCCGCCACAGGAAAAAACTATATTGCATTGGAGAAACAAAGATAAGGATGACATCAGATTTCTCATCAGAAATAATGCAAGTGAAGAAGACAGTGGAGTAACATCTTTAAAATACCGAGGAAGAAAAAAACCGTCAACCTAGTTTTTTATACTAGGTGAAAATACAGAGTCCAGCACAAATAACACCCACTATTTTTTATTACAAAATCATAAGCATGTAATTCTGTAACATTAAAATATCACACTGAAGCATGCCATATGATATTTTAAGTGAAATTTTCAAATTAAAACTATAAATTATTACACCCATATTATTACCCTGCCAACCACACTCACGCAGGCATTACTTCTGCTGGACCCTGCATATCACAGAAACAAAGGTGAGATAAAGATGTTTTCAGACATACTAAAGCTGGAAGATTTCATTAGGTGCAGACTTACACTGTAAAAAATATTCTCCTATGGGTAAAATAAAAAAAATCAAATCTGGTTTCTCTGTTCTGTTCTCATCCCATCCAGGTGATGATTGATTTGCTTCCACAGGTCATTCCCAGGGATGGATATATTACCCATAATCAGTTTCTGTTGCCTTTGATACCCAATATTTAACTACTACATATTTTCCTTATCTTTATTGATTAGATCATCAATTTTCAGATGTTGTAGCAGAATTCTCTTAAAATAAATATTTCATGGGATCCAACTATATAAAACCAGAGTTTCTCTGGTTAAATTGGGACAGTGGGTCTAGAATCTTGTCTTCTTGCTCTCACTTCTGTACACAATGAAATTCAAGCTATCTTTATCAAAAGACAATTGGCCTGTCCCTGTGAATACATCTCTTTTTTAAGTCATATCTTTAGACAAATATTCTCAGGTGTCTACTTCCATTCAAAGGTATTGCTTTAGGTTATGATTCTTTACCTTTAGTTTAACCAGTTGGCAAGCTATGAGTTTAATTTTTTTCTTGTTTCATAACTAGAAATTATTGACCTTTTTTCCTACCAAGAGTAGAAATAATTAAATATTCTTTGGAAGCAAAAAGAGTTATGAGCTCTAAAGTTAGCTGACTGGGTTTCAATGCTAGCCCCACCATTTATTCACAAGTTGACCTTGGATAGTTACTTAATGTCATTAAGACTAGTTCCTCACCCATAAAACAAGGACCATAATAAACTTGCCTGATAGGGTTATTGTATAAATTTAATGAAATAGCCACCTTATACACAGCCTGGCATAGTAAACACTCCATAATACATATTAGCTATTATGTTAAACATTATGATACATATTCTAAAATTCTAATATATATCCTATGTTTTTAAATTTGTTTTTGATTACTTAGGTACAAATGATGAGAGAGAAATGACATTCAAGCACGCAGGTCTCTTACACCTTCTGGTCACGATTCGAGATATCCTTTTAACCTGTAGCTTGGACACAGCATTGGGTCAGTGGGGGAAATTTTCAATTTTCCTTTTCTTCCTATTGAAATATTTTATCCAAAATAACTTAATTTTCTGAAAAGTATGAAACTTATAAGAAACTGCATAGCTTCTTTTACTTCACTGTTAAACATTATATACATTTTAACATAATTTAATGAAATAGATATTTTACTTTGTTTATATTCATTAAAAGGAATTAATTATAACAATTATCATCACCTAAAATATAGGTTTAGGATTCCCTCATCTAGTCCTGAATTACAGAGTCCTGGTGGCTTTAAGCATATTTGATAGTATAATCATTATCATGCATTAATTTTTAGTGTAAGATGACATGTTGCCATATACATTTTAGGCCCTTATTGAATGTCTGTGGCTTTTAATCTTTGCTGGATGAAATATGACTAAATTATTAGTAGTAAGATCTTTTGCATTTTTTGGTTGTGTATGTAAATGAGGATATAAACTACTTGAGTGATAAAACTGATTTCAATGTATTGACAATTTTATGATTCTGAAGATCTTTTCTAAACTATCAGAATCATTAAAATATCTTACTATATTACCACTTTAGCCCCTTATCACAGAATTATTGAGACTTGTTTAGTAATGGTACACTTATAGGATTATGTTTTATAATTTAGAGTTTTTAGGAACTATTTCAAATATAAAGTGAAAATAATTTTCTCTGATCTCTGACCCAGGCATTTCTTCTTATCTATGACTCAGACAAATATTATTTCTCTAATCCATGGCTCTAAACATAAGTATTGAGCAGCAGTGAGTTATAATTATACTCCCTCTATAACACTAGGAGTTATAACACTTGGCTAACTATTATGTCATCTGGCCAAGTAATTATAACTAAATTAATTATAACTAAATTACAGCCACTCTTAGAAAGTCCAGCATGGTGCTTTTCCTTTCTTTTCCAATTAAACCACCTGGGTTGATGCTGGATCAGTTTTTCTTATCTTCATCCCCAGACAAGTAAGGATTGGGAGCTATATCCCTAATTTACAGTACCTGGACTTAGTGTAAGGGTATAGTGTCACATGCCCTTCTGCATATTTAGTCACCTGTCTTCATTAAACTTTTTCGCTTCCATAAAAGATTGTTAGTCCTACCAACAGCTAGGCTGATGTTAAAGTATAATAGTAAGGCAGAATATCAGATTCTAGCATATCTGAGCTCCCTGTGCTGTAGAGAGAGTACATTTGTTATTCTGCTCAATACTTATCAAAACCTTGAATTAGAGAAATTGTAGAAGGATTGCTTGAAACATATTCACCTTTAAGTACTGTACAGTTTACCCTAGGATTAAGTGAGACCAGAGAGTTTACACTAGAATTGTTTTTGCTCCTCAAAGAAATGCATTTACTAAATTAAATTTTGGCATTACTATTTGACTACCTTGAAGAATATTATAAAAATAAAATCCTTGTGAGAAAGCTAACTTCTTAAGCCCTAGGTACCAAGCCATAATGAATAGCCTAACTGCCTTAGACATTTTTTAGTGGAGGGCTTTTTTTACTCCTCTAAACATCCTGAAATCACAGAGCAAGTTATTTGTCCTCCTCTCCTTCCCTCTCTCCAGTGCAGAAGAAAGGCCTGTGGGGGTCTGGCTGCCTGCCCTGGTCCCTTCCAGAATTCTGTATCTTGTCCAAGCTGTGTTTGCTACTTCTCCCAAGCTTGCAAACCGCAAGTTTCAAGGCTAAGATACTGTTTCAAAATCAGAAAAGGATTGAAGGAAGTTTTCGTTCTTTTTTTGTCTGTGTTATGACTGTTATTTCCTTTCAGGTTTTTACCATGGAGTTTCTCAAGGAAGAAAAAGTCATGCTTTCTCCCCCTAACTTTTGTTTTTAACAGGATATTTGTCAAATGCAAAACATGTGTACAAAAGCATTTTAGCTTCCTATTTGGATGACATTTGGAGACAGCTAGAGATTGTACAATTTATTAAGGGAAGAAAGCCTGAAACCAACTACAAAATACAAGAATTACAAAGTCAGATACTAAATTGGATGCAAAGTGAACAGCAAATTAAGGCAAGTACTAGAATAAAGCAGACAACAGTACTTAGCTTAAGTAAGAACTGAATGTCAGATACTTTTTTGCACTTAATTTTGAAATTATAAGATAGTTTATACTATTTGGTCCCTTGACAGTTTTCTTAACTAAGTGAACAGAAGAGAATCAGACCCAGAGAAAGGATGGTTTGTGTCATTATTCATGTCTTGATTTTAAAAGTAATTTTTATTATACGCAGTTTTCTATGGATTGCTTCTCCAAATATCAAAAATTTTGTCTGATACTTGTAAGTTCATGAACATATACCCAGTAGTAGAACTACAATAATTTATTTTTAGATATTGAGCCAAAATCTCATCTGATGTGATTCTACAAAAAAAAAAGCACTTATTTTATGCCTTGGATTATATTGGAAATTTTTGCTTACCTGGCCTCAAGTACATGATGGTGGCATTCATAATTATTTAAGAGAAAATGCTTTTTAAAATCTTTTCAAGCACAAAAGCATTTCAGATGTTTTACATAAAATATGGTTACAAATTGGCCTTTTTTTCTCTCTTTGGCCCTCCAATATTTTAATCCCCAACTTTAGGTTATTTGGTAACTTGCTTAAGTCATTAATATCAAGTAAAACAATCAGTAAAAAATTTAAATTTGAAATTGATTTGTTGCCCCACCAAAAAGAAAAACTGCAATGGTGGGTAGGAAAGTATAGCAGCAAATCAATGGTTTTCTCCAACAAATTCACATAATACAGGGAGAGACAGCTTATGTCTAAATAGAATCACCTGCATGGGAATACTTGAAGAATGCTAAGAATGTCCTACTGCAAATTTCTCTTCTCATTAATATTTGATCTTAGCAGAATTTATTCCTTTGTATTTCAGCATGATATCTTTTACAACACAAATATTTACTTTGTGATCTTATTGCCATTAGTTTCATATAACCAATTAAGTTTATTTTGTCACTGTAGCAAAACTATGGAAAAGAATAATTATTCAAATATACATATATGAGAAATTCTTATGTTTGGTCAGGTGCTGATTATAATAAGAATGGACTCAGATGGTGAAAAACATTTGCTCATTGAAATCCTTAACAAAATGGAAGGTAGGCAGTTTTTAATCATGCATCATTTGATAACATTCTTGAATATAAAAATGTATTAATTAAACCAAGTTTAAAATTAAGATATAATTGATATACCATAAAATGTATCCTTTAAAAGTAAATAACTCAGTGGTATGTAACAAGTTTTTCAATCGATCTGGACTATACATCTGCAATATAAATATGCTATAATATATGCTAAATTTAAATAATGTATATATTATTATCAATTGATATCTTTTATTGACTATCTACTAGTTGCTAAACAATACTATTTACAACAGCTCTATGAATAGGTCTTACTAACTCTATTTTACAAATAAAGACACTAAAGTTCATAAAGGTGATGTAGTATGCCAAGTCTCATAGGTACTAAGTGAGGGAATCAGAATTCGAACCTAGGTCTTTCTCGTTCCACTGTCATTCTTCAGTTCACTCTTCTGCCCCCTGCTGCCCGCTGTGCCAGCCCTTTCCACCTTGTGCTGTGGAACTCATTGCTTATATGTAAACTCTTCTTCACCTCGGTATCTTAAGTGAAACCCAGCTTTCCCCAGATGATAACTGCTTCCCCTGTGTCTTTCTCAGATAGAAGCTAGGTCCATCATTTATGTGTTTGCCAGATCCTCATAATGCACTTAGCAAGGAATCTTCTTTGGAGTCATAGCTAATACAAATCATTATGATTTAAAAGGAGATTAGCTTCTAAAAATATAACCTTATAAATTATAAAAGAGAAATCATACTCTATTCCTTCTTATTGCTTCTAAAACTTGTCATATCAATTCAAGTAACCATGAAATTATTAAGTACTACTTGGTTGTTACTACATCATACCATTGTGAAATTTCCAGTTGAAAGAGTACACTAATGGAGTGTAGAATATATTTTAACTAGAATTAGCTATTCTTAAATCAATTATATCTGTAAAAAATCAACTATATGTGTGGATACAGAATTTTTTGTTGTTTATTATATTTTCTTAAAAAATAGTAACATGAAATTTAAATTGAAATGCAGTCTCTTGATGTTTAGTTATGTACTTAAATTTTTACTAGAGAAAAAGGGTAAAATCTAGCATGATTTTTAGCAAAATAAAAATAACTGCACAGAATTGGTGAGTGGGTTTTACCTGGTCATTTTAAAATTAAGTTTTTGATCCATTTTATTATTTTACATAAAAAATTCAGAACTCCCATGCTCATACTACACACAATATACACACACCAGAAATATTTCCTACATTTTAGACTTTCTGCTCCCTAGACCTAGAAAAATAACCCCTCAGATTGTATTCATTTTAGTGGTAGTGAAATATATGACGCATCTAAAAATTACATGTGAACAACCCCTGAAAGCCCTGGCCTGTGTGGCTCAGTTGGTTGGAGCATCATTACATAAACTGAAAGGTCATGTGTTCAACTCCCAGTGAGGGCATATGCCGAGGCTGCTGGTTTGGTCCCTGGTCGGGGTATGTCTGAGAGGCAACTGATGGATGTTTCTCTTTCAAATTGATTTTTTTTTTTTTGTCTGTCCCTCCTTTTCCCTGGCTCTGAAAAAAAATCAATAAGCATGTCCTTGTGTTAGAATGGAAAAAAAATACTGAAAAAAAAAAAAAACCCTTTCTTTCATTACTATTTTTTTCTAACAGGTTTAACATTGACTGTCTTACATTCAAACAAAAGAAGAGACTATCTGGAATCTGCAGGTGTTATAGATGGGTAAGAATGTATTTCTTCATCTATGGGGAGCAAACACACAAATTCCAGAGGGAAAGCACAATTTCTCCTAGAACTTAACTTTTATAAAAGGGTTAATAAAATCTGAAATTAATTAATGTCTCTACCCTTTTCCTGAAAAATGTTTTACATAGAGCATTTTAATTTAGTTCATTGGCTTGTGTTATATATTATTGTTGTCCAGAATTTTAGTTCAGTCTTGCTTCAATATCCCTAGATGATCATTATTATTGTCATTGTCAGTACAGAAAGTGCTTATTTAGACTTACAAGATTTTACTAGGTTTTTTTTTTTTTTTTTTTGCTCAGCATTGTTTCTTGTATTTCCTTCATTTGTTTTGGGTTCTCTCTCATCCTGAAGTACAAAAGTACAAATTCTTTCAGTGAGGACTGCTAGTGATAAATTTAGTGTTGACTTGTCTAAAACTGTTTTTATTTTGCCTTCTTTTATCTAGAAATTATTTATTTCTAATATTGGATCTAAATAATAAAAAAAGAGGATGTAAATCAAATAGAAGTTCCTAAAAGCTATACATGGATAACCTTTTACCTTTTATCTATCTAGATTACTCTGGGCAGAAAGCAGTGGTAGAGAACTTTAATTTTAGTATGTGCTGTTGTATGAAATTCAAACATGGTGAAGATAAATTAAATATCCATCTTTTTTGTTATTGTCAAATCACCTATGAAGCCCATTGAGAAAAAAAGTATCCCCATTTCACAGTTGTTAGATAGTATGTTATTACATAGCTTCTCAAAGATTAAACCCTTACATTTGTAGGAAAATGGTATTGATTTCTCCTGGTAATTTATATGTTATGGATAAGACTCAGGTAATAATAATATTAAGGACCCTTGCATTTGAGAATGTGGAATAGTATATAGTTTTTCATATTTGGGTTAAAAAAAGTGTGACCATCAAAAAATAAAAATAAAGAGATTAACACAAGTGGAGAACAAATCAACAGAAAATATACCAGTGCTTTTCTAAGATAAGTAGGCATAGATTAGAGAAGAATAAAATACACCAAAAACAGTTATCTTTTAGCATTCTAAGTAAATAATGGTACAAATATAATTCCATTTTCTTGGCTTTTTTTGTCTTCAGTACAAGTTCCTGTGTAGTAGTACATAATCAATGTATTGGAGCAGATTTCCCCTGGAGTAATTTCTCATTTGTGGTGGAATACAATCATGGAGAAAACTCTTGTTGGACTAAACACTGTGAAAAATTGAATATTCCATTCATGGCCTTTAAAGTGATTCTTCCAGACACGGTTTTAAAGAGTAAGAATATAAACCAAAAAATTTTTTGTTCCATCAGGATATAAAATTTTTGTTTCCTGTTTCTGATCAATGGAAAGAGAATAATCTACGACATAAGACTTGAGATTCAGTTCTAATTTTACCACTATCTATATGACATTGAACAAGTTCTCTAACTATCTCTTACCTCATATTTATCATTTGCAAAGTAAACTATACTGATTATATTTATCTTCATCCCTTTAACTTCTAAAGTTTACCTGTAATAACAAAATTTATTACAATTTTATCTAATATCAATTTGGTACTTTTATTTTATAATATTTTATTACATTTTAGAGAAAAATTATGTAATAATATATTGATTGATTCAGAAAAGTTTTAATAAGCAACAAAGTATTATACACAAATACTTAGGAAAGAGTCTAAAACCACTTCATATATCCTTTGGTTTCTTGGTGTTTCTCACCTCACATGCCTGAGGTTGTGAATTCTCAGACCATTGAAATTAAAAAGCAGGTAGATGTTTACTTTCAACAGTTGTCATAAGTTACTTCGCATCCTCTTCAAGCATGGGTGGGAAGTTTGAATTGAGTCATTTCAACCCAATTCTAAAATATACCATAATTATTGTTTAGAATCTTTGATATTTAGAATTAAACGTTAAATTGATTAAATAATTGAAACATAGGCCCAAGAAAAGATAAAAGATAAGCATTCTCATTTATATTTAGAGGCTTCTTTCATTCATTCTCTCAAAGATGAACTTAATTAGCCAATTCATTATTTGAAATGTTTACAGTTCTTTAATTCTTACTGTAAGATAGTTTTATGAAATTAGTCTTAAGAAATCAGAATTCCAAGAAATAAAATTAATTGCTGGCTCAAAGGTCTAGAGACATTTATATATTGCTAAAAATCCTTCCAGAAATACTATTCCAATTTATATTTACACAGAAAGTGTGAGAGGATATTTTCCCCTTATCTTTACAATAAGTAGGTGACACTAATCTTTTAAATCTTTGACAAAATTATAGTCAGAAAACATTTTATAGTTGTGTATATCTGTACATCTGTGATTATTCATGTATTTTCATATGTGAATTGATCTTGTACAGCCATTCTTTTGTAAAATGCTTGTCTATATCCATTGTCTGTTGAGGCATTTATTCTTTTCTTATTGATCTGTATCATTCCTTATGGGTTATTGTGCATAATTTCAAATTTTGATCAGTTTATATTTACATAGCAAATGCCCAATATTCACTTAAGTGAATAAAGCAGATTTTAACATCCACATATATTATTATCCTGTTTTTTCTTTTTCTTTTTAAGTGAGTGTACATGTGTGAGTATATATAAGCAAAGATATAGAAAAAAGTCTGGAAGTATGTACTAAACTTTGTTTTTAGTATATGGTAGTTTTAGTAAATCTGTTAATTCTGTTTATTTCTAGGCAGTAGGATAAAATATGGCTTTTATTTTATTCTTCAGTCCTTTCATTATTCCAATTTCTAATTGTTTACAATGAATATGTATTATTTTTATACTACTCCTTAAACATATCTGTTATTCTCATGTTTAATAAGAAACCAGAAAGAGCCAAGGGATGAGAAAAAAGAGAAATATCTATAAATTTTCTCTTATTTAGGAAGCAATTTGCTGGATAGTTTTGGTGGTTTTCTTTTGGATATTCAGATTCCCTATGTGTTTTTTGCATCTGAAGGACTTCTTAATACTCCAGAAATACTTCAGTTGCTCGAATCCAAGTAAGTTATTTATTTCATAACTCTAGCAAAGGTATATATATATCCTAATGGCTAAACAATATGCTAAATACATGGCACTATTTGTCTTGGATTCAGGCCTGGTATTATATTACACAGAAAGTTTTCCAGAAAGCTTATGTCAGTATACATTGCTTTCCTTCTAGTATACCATCATAATTATTAAATGTTATTTTTTGTTAATATAAATCAATTTTGTTGTTTTTAGCCAAGATAGAGGTGTAGAAAGATAGGGTTCACTTCCTTGCACAACCAAAAGAAGGAAACAACCAATTTAAAAACAAAAAACAACCAGAACTGCCAGAAAATCGAACTGTATGGAAGTCTAACGACTGAGGAGTTAAAGAAACAGTTATCCAGACTGCTAGGAGGGGCAGAGACAGGCACCAGGAGCAGAGCGGACGTGTGGCAAGGTGGTGGCTGATGAACTGGGAAGTCTCACATTAGCATGCAGATAAACTGGTAGGAACAACTGGGGAGTGAGACAGACTGAGCAACCCAGGGTTTCAGCATTGGCAAAATAAAGCCTCAGAACCTCTGGCTATAAAATTCTGTGGGAGTTGTGGCAGCAGGAGGAACTGCCTGTCTCTTGAAAGTGGAGTGAAAGCCAAGCAAGCAGCATTGTTTCCTTTCTGACCCCTCCCCCACATACAGCACCACAACACAGGAAGCAGTTTTCCCTGCCTGGCAAATATATAAGTCTCCACCCCTTACAATGTAACAGGTACACCGAGACAAAGAAATATAGCCCAAATAAAAGAACAAATCAAAACTCCAGAAAAAAAAAAACTAAGTGATGAGGAGATGGCCAACCTATCAGATGCAGAGTTTAAAACACTGGTAATCAGGATGGTCACAGAAATGATTGAGTACAGACACAAAATAAAGGAAGAAGTGAAGGCTATGCAAAGTGAAATGAAGGAAAATATACAGGAAACCAACAGTGAAGGGAAGGAAACTGGGACTCAAATCAACAATTTAAAACAAAAAGAAGAAATAAATATTCAACCAGAACAGAATGAAGAAATAAGAATTCAAAAATTTAGGAGAGGCTTAGGAATCTCTGGGAAAACTTTAAACATTCCAACATCCAAATCATAGGGGTGCTAGAAAGAGAAGAGGAAGAGAAAGAAATTGAAAACTTACTTGAAAGTATAAGGAAGGACAATGTCCCCAATCTGGCAAAGGAAATAGACATGCAAGTCCAGGAAGCTCAGAGTGTCCCAAAGAAGTTAGATCCGAAAAGAAACTCACCAAGATGCATCATAATTAAATTGCCCAAGATTAAGGATAAAGAATCTTAAAAGCAGCAAGAGAACAGGAGACAGTTACCTACAAAGGAATTCCCATAAGACTATCAGCTGATTTCTCAAAAGAAACCTTACAGGCGAGAAGGGGCTGAAAATAAATAATAAAAGTCATGAAAAGCAAGGACCTACATTCAAGATGACTCTATCCAGCAAAGCTATCATTTAGAATGCGAGGGCAGATAAAGTGTTTCCCAGATAAGGTAAAGTTAAAGGAGTTCATCATTACCAAGCCCTTACTATATGAGATGCTAAAGGGACTTATCTAAAAAATAGAAGAAGATCAAAAACTATGAACAGTAAAATGACAACAAATTCACAACTATCAACAACTGAACCTAAAAAGAAAAAAAAAACCTAAGCAAACAACTAGAACAGGAACAGAGTCACAGAATTGGAGATCACATAGAGATTTATCAGTGGGGAGAGGGAGAATGGGGGGAAAAGGTACAGGGAATAAGAAGCATAATTGGCAGGTACAAAATAGACAAGAGGAGGTTGACAATAATAGAGGAAATTGAGAAGCCAAAGAGCTTATATGTACAACCTCTGGACATGAATTAAGGGGGGGAAATGCTGGTGGGAGAGGGGTACAGGGTGGAGGAGGATAAAGGGGAGGAAAAAATGGTACAACTGTAATAGCATAATAAATAAAATATACTTAAAAGATAAATCAATTTTGTGGATAAAAGATTTCATTGTTTAAATTTATATTTTAATTGCACTTCTTTTGTTACTAGCAAATAAGAACATTTTATGTGGGCTTATTCTGTGAATTACATGGTTAGGTTATATCTTGAGTCACTGATAATATAGAGAATGACTATTCTGAGAAAAGAGTGTGACTGTTCTCATTTAGAGGTCTTTAAATACTGCCTGTGAAACAGGATTATAAAGGTCTAAATGAATTTTCCAGTTTTTAGACCTTTAGTTCTAAGATCATACCAGCACTGAGCATTTTAAAATCATATACAACTTTACCAAAGCACACAGTTGTCTCAGGAATATTGGATGGTGGGCTATATCTCAAGAAGGAATAATGGTGCTATGACCTTAGTTAAAATGCAGATTTATTTTCCCTGCTTTTGTATTTATATCAAAACTGTGAGACAGTCACAGAAACTTCTGAGCTACAAAAAGGTGGTTAAAATTTAAGTGTTTTAAGGAGAAAGAGAAAATCCTGATAAATGCAAAATATTTAGTCTAATAGCATGATGTTTTGGTTTCATTAATTATTATTTAAAGAGCAGAACAAATTGGTCAGTACATATGAAATAGTATTAGGTAAAGTAATACTTAGCAAAGTACGTAAGGCAACAAATAGCCAACTAATTTGTTATATATACTGAATAAATCACAATTTCATCCCTTAAATTTGTAATGTAGAATAAATTGATGTATAAAAGAAAAAGCACAGTTCAAATCATTTAATATGTAGGAGGACAATACAGCTTTTCTCAAAAAATTTTTCTTAGCTATTTCATTATGTCACCCCAAAATATTGTATTTTACAGCTATAATATCACCCTAGTGGAGAGATGCTGCAGTGAGTCTTTGAAATTCTTTGGAGGGACGGAGTGCTATGTAGTAGTGACAGTTGATGAACACACTGCCATAATTTTGCAGGTAAAGCTATACAGTAAAAAATATAAATCAAATAAATTAAAATATATGTATAGCCATGTAATTTATTTTTAGCTTTACTATAGACACAGCTTAACCTTAATCTATTATGATTTCTTCCATGACTTTCCAAGTGAGTCACAAGTGCCAAAACATCACCGTGGAAAATGCCTATTACCAACCTTCTTTGGTGCCTTATAATTTTTAACATACTTTAAGACAAAGCAAATATAGAATCTTTAATATTGTATATGGACCTATTGTTAAATATATTTATAGGATAATTAGAGTGTCAAAAACTTTAAAAACTAAATCCTACCCACTATGTTTCTTGAAGGGGGGTGATAAATTAACCCATGATTGGTAATATGGGATTTCCTGTGAGCTAAGTAGGGAGTACCTGTAAATAAGCTGGTTTTTAAAAGAGTGAGAAATTGTCTTAAAAAACCCATATAGCTTAGAATTTAAGATATATAAATTCTTGACTGAATCTCCCTGATGTTTGCTTGATTGGAGTACAAATCACAAAAAAAGTATTTTAATAGGGTGGAATGGGAAGCAAAAGCCAGTTTGATGTTATAGAGTATGAATTAATGACAACTATTATGATAAAATGCTAACAATATAAAAATTATACAATGGAAACATGAAGCTCTGTTAGAGGGATTCTTAAGAGATACTGTGTCTTACATATTTAAGGTTCTTAAAAAAACAATTACTTGGGGAGAAATGTCATTTTGGAAAACTCTTTTAGTCCATAGTTACATAAATTATTGTTAGAGTAAGGCACTCCCTGAATTATTTACTCTATGAAAAATTGTGTGAAAGGAAAAAGAGAATTCTAGACCATTTACACAGAGATCCCTAGAAGTCCATGAACTGCTGCTTCCTCATCTTCCTTAAGTAAGCATTTGGAGCACATTATCTATTTTAAACATATTTTCTATTGCCTTTAGGAGTAGCCAGATCCCTGTCTACAAAGGACTTCACCCAAATAGGGGCATTCTGTATGTAGGCTGCTCTCTTCATGTCTAGGACTTCGGGGGACTCGTGAGCCTTTCTTGCTGAAACTACCACTAGCTATTTTACATCTTTTGTAGCTTTTCCCCTACTACTTCCAGTGTGATTTTAACTTTTTCATAAAATAGAAGCCCATACCCACTATTCTTCTCAAGTTATAATTTACATATCATAGATTCTTGAAATATAATAGCAATAATTTCTTAACAACCATTAATCTAGTGAATCTTTTTATTTATGTATTTTCTGGTAGGACCTAGAAGAACTGAATTGTGAAAAGGCATCAGACAATATGATTATGAGGCTGATGGCATTGTCATTCCAGTACAGCTCTTGTTGGGTAATTTTATATGCCAGGAAAACATTAAGCTCAGAGTAAGTAAACATTTCCTCATCTAAAGTCACATTCATATATATTTTTAAGTTTTTCAGTCCTTCTTCTGGGAACAGCAATAGCCATGCAGACTCTCCACTTGCTCATCTAATTTAAGTCAGGGGTTCTCATGGTGGAGGCGTGCCCAGAAGAAAACAAATCAAAATCTTGGACAGAATATCCCCTGGACATTCTGTGCAAATCGTCCTCCCTTCTTCTACCTTCCTAAGAGCTGCAGCTTTAAGTGTTTTGCTTCTTATCACTTTTAAATTCTGGACTTACCTGTTAAAAGATAGGTGTGTGTTTTTTTCATTGATTATAGAGAGAGAGGAAAGGGAGGAAGAGAGAGAGAGAGAAAGAAGCATCAACCTGTTATTCCACTTATGCATGCATCCATTGGTTACGTCTTATATGTGCCCTGACCGGACATCAAACCTGCAACCTTGGCGTATAGGCACAATGGTCCAACCAAGTGAGGTGCCTGGTCAGGGCCTAGATAAGTCATTCTTAAATTACTTCTCTCTACAATTTTATTAAATACACCAACTAACTAGTGTCTCGCTATACTTTTTCATGAATGTGCATTATTGAAGAATTACCAAAAAATCCATGCCAAGAGCAGTAAGGGGATGAGTTAAATTTCTCTCCTGCTCCTCCAACCCCAGCACACCCCCAGATTTAAGTGCATTGAAAAATGGAGGTGGAAATGTTTTTAATCAAAAAAGTGCTGAGTAGACAAAGAAACATGGGTCTGCCATACTAATATTTTCTAGCCAGGTTATTCTAATAACATTATGAAATGTGGACAACAAAATGAATTTTTAGTAAGTATAATTAGATATCAAATGAGTGGAAGTATAGTAATATGATTCTTTTTAGGTACTATCTTACAGAAAAGACACTTCATCACCTAGCACTGATTTATGCGGCTTTAGTTTCATTTGGGCTAAAATCAGAAGAACTGGATGTAAAGGTATTCTTTTCCTATATGTTCATAAGTATTTTTCATAAACCAAAATTATACTCAGACTCATAAGCCCACTAAGAAGAAACATTAAACGGTCAAGCCAAAACTGCTTAAAGGCCAAATAAAGAACAGTTCTCAAATTAATGAATATTCTTTCCACCTAAGCTTCTATCTGAAAATTTAGTCTGACATTATTAGTCTAAATGTCTATCTGACATTTGGTTTAATAAATTGAACATATTTTAGCTCTTAACTACTGCTTAGTTTTTTTTTTAAACATATCCGGATATAAATAAAAATAAATATATCCCTTGAATAAAAATGCTCACTTATGAAAGATATACTAAGTTCTAATCTGCTATAAAGTGGACATCTTATGACATATGAATACAGTAACATTTTGGTAATCTCTAATTAGTCTCCTTTCTTAGTTCTATTTCTCAATGTCCTTGCTCTGAATTTAAACATTCCTCCAACCTTGGGACTCAGTACTTTTCAGTACTTTAGAGACTCCCTTAATAAACTCAATCATTCTCACAAATTTAACTTCCATTTCTGGCTGTAATCCATAAAATGTTCCTCACTTTTGTTAAGGTCTGCATCTTGAGTCTAGCATTCTACTGGAAAGCTCCACTGAAATATCCCACAAGGTACCTCAGACTTTGCATGTATTGAATGCAACTTCTCATCCTCTCCCAGATTTAGTCCATGGTATTAGGATTCTCATCTAATCTAAGCTAAATTCTTTTTTCTTTTTTTTGAACTCTGCAGTGCCTTCTCTAGAAGTCTCTCCTTTCTGCTCCCACTGCCATTTCCCTAAAATCAGGCCTGCATTACCTCTCACTTGGAGCTTCCTAACTAATCTCTTTTCTACTTTTTCCCCACTCTAGTGTATCATATATGTTGACACCAGTTACATTTTGAAATGTGCCTGTAAATATTCGCTTCCTAGATAATAGCTTCTGAAGGAACAAGAACATCTTTATTCCTTTTTGTATTCCTGGCACCCAGCACAGTACAAGTAGGTACAGTGCAAGTGCCAAGTATGTGCCAGGCTCTTGTAATATTTGTTGTTGAGTTGATTTTCCTTGCACAGAAGACCTCCCATATGCTTCCTATCTGATTCAAGATAGAGTTCAAACTCAGAAAGACTCAAACTTCACAATTTGGCCCCTACTGATCCTTCCTTTATCATTCCACTCGCCATTTCCTGAATAAGCCTCCATTCAGTCACCTCTCAGCCACTGCACAAACATGTCATTCTGGCCTGTCTTTCCCAGGGAATACTATTCCCCATCCCCTTATTGCCAGCCTTTATCGTTCTGTCTTTTTCTCCCCAGCTCAAACACTACTTCCTTTAAGAAATTTGCCCCATTACACCCTCTCAGGATAAATCTTCCCTTGTCCCTTTCTCCCAATAACACTTTGTCCCTTTGTAATAGTATGAGGTATTGATAATTAGAGTATTGCTATAGCATTATAGTATTCAGTACCCTTAACCCTGAAGGGCCCTTCTTCTTTGTGAAACCCATAGTATCCAGCACAGCGCTTTGTACAGAGGAAAAATACTCAACGTCAACTAAGTACAATTAAATCAAAGCACAGCCTGTTAAGAAAATCAATAAATGATCTATTTGAAATAAGATCCAGATAATTTTGATCCATGTTAAACATAGAAATAAAATCCTTAGAAAAGGTATCTAAATAAATGAATGGTAAATGTAAATTTGTCTCATTTATTAATTCAAGTGAAGTTTTACCACTTAATTAGCATCTTTTCTTCCCAGCTCAAGGCAAGCAGTTGTATGCAAAATATGCTTAGTGTCATTTCATTCCTCTGTGCACTGAGTACATGACACCAGAGAGCGGTACTGTATTCAGATACGGTGACACGGTTTGTTGAGGATATGTTCCAAGGAGGGCATTTGGGGGTGAAATAGGAGGTACTGCCCAGGCACGATCCATTCCAAATGGAAGTCTGCTCCCACCTGGATCAAACTATTTCAAAAGCTTTTCAAGTTTTACATAATCTAAAACTAGGTTAGTTTTTCCATGGAATTTGAGAAACAGCTGTGATCAATTTATTCATACTCTACTATAAATATGAAGGTCTGTCCAGAAAGGACCCAGCTGCGTACTATGAAAAATAGACATTTATTTTAGAACAGGATACGAGAAACGTTGTACACAGGACAATGATGCCTCAGTGCATACAATGATGCCTTCAAAGTACACACCTTGGGACCTCACACAGTTGGTGATTCTTCCAGTCACCATCAGCTGCCCCATCATATTTTCCTGAGTCTCATCAATGGTCTGAAATCTCTTCCCTTTCAAAAGTGATTTTAGTTTTGGGAAAAGCCAGAAGTCACAGGGCACCAAATCTGGGCTACAGGGGAGCTGAGTCACCTGGGTGATTTGATATTTTGCCAAAAAACTCTGTAGAAGACATGATGCATAGGCAGGTCCGTTGTTGTGATGAAGCTTCCAGTCACCAGTTGCCCATAGCTGCAGCCTTCTGAATCATCTGAATGGCTTCCACAGAGGAATGTTCCAGCTTAACACAAATCTGAGGCAGATTCATTGCCCTACTCGCTCGGTCATATTGAATGTGACCGCTACACAGTGCACATGCTCACTCAGTGGCATCTAACACCCCCACTGACTAGTACAGTGAAGTCATCATTGTTCACACACGCACATTCCAGTCCACTCTCCTTGGCTGCCAGGTTACATCGATGTCACACAAACCGTTCTCATATTTACAATGGCTGGACTTTTTCCACACAGACCTTGTATGTCACCAACATTCAAACCTCCCATTCTCCTGACTTAATGACACTATTACATTAGAAAGGATTCCCTACATTCATATTGTTTTAGAGTATACTGTCACTTTACCATAGTTTATTTACTTAGATGGCTTTTGGCCTTTTAGAGTGCTTTAGTGTGAATTTTTTTTCAGGCATCTGGAGAGCTTAGCCATAAACCAAGTATTAGGAAATTTAAGTAAATTTTTTAAACTAAAAGAAAATACTGCTAGTAGTTTTATGCTTTATTTTATTCTAATTTCAAAAAATTCTATAAATTTGTTATGGCCTGTCTTTCTAAAAAATGCATAGATGCACACATATGCAAAATTTGTAAAACAATATTAGGGAATTCCTGAATTTGCTGAAGTCTAGCCAGCCACAAGCTCTGCTCTAATAAAGTAATGGGATAAACACCATCACAAAATTATGCCTTTTAAAATAAAGTTTATATTCAAATAAGAGTATGAGATAGTCTCAAAACATCCAAAACTTAGCAATGAAATAAACTTGGATTCAAACAGTATATTTCTGTGCACTCTATACATATTTATTATAATTGAAAGAAAATCCTTCTTTAGAATATACATATTCATTCCCCAGGTATGTACTAACAGTTTTATATTTGAAACTCTTCTGAAAGAAAATATTGTTAAAATTATTTTGTGAGATTTGTACAGTCCTTGTTTTTTAAGTTTCTACTACAGGGCAGGATATTTATATTTCTAAGATATGATTGTTTAGGGTGGTATTTCTCTGCCCACATTAAACTGCTAACTCATGAGCTATCTTTCCTTCAACCCAACTTATGAGAAGTAGATAAAGATAGAAGTGAAAGAGGAAGAGAAAGACTGCCATTTCAAAAGAGAGAAGGGCCAGGAGGGAAACACAAGTGACAGACATGAAGCAGAGGAAAACAAATTCTTTTTTTAGCATTTACTTTAATACACAAACACATTTTTGGCAGGAGTATCTTAGTGTTAAATATGGTAAGACTGGTTGAGAAATTCCCAAAATGCTGGTGATGGCTACTCTAAATCAAAACCTTACTTTATTTCTTTTTGAATAGAGTTTGAAATTCATCTGAAAATTTACTTTGTTTTTGGAAAATATAACACTATATTTTTTAAAGTTCTTGTTTTTACTGAGAACTATCAAGTTAATGTAGAAAAAGCTTAATATTAAACATTACTAGTGATATCCAAATTGCTTTTATTCTGTAGAGATAAATATAACAAATATATTTAAAATATTTTATTAATAAATGTCAATGGAGTGAAGAAAACCAATTTAGTTCCAAAATTGGAAACTACAAGGATATCAAACTTAAAGAGAGAAAATTGCTTATCCTTATGAATAAAATATCCTAGATTTCATATAAAGAAATTAATAAATTAATTTAAAATAGTGCTCAAAGATTAGAATCTGCCATTTTTTATTTTTCTTCTAATTACAAACACATTTTGAATGATATATTTTGCTTCCTAATATTTCCTACAGTCTACCATTAATTTTTTTTTTTTTTAGCTTATAATTGCCCCTGGAGTAGAAGAGACTGCATTGATGATTCGACGAATTGCTGACCACAATTTAATGACCTCGAAGAGAGATCCTCATGAATGGTTGGATAAATCCTGGCTTGAAGTTTCACCATCTAAGGTGGTTTATTTCCTAAATTAATAAATTAGATATTTACAAAGCAAGTATAAATACATGTATTTGAATTTTCTTTCTGGTAACCTATTTTTGTCCTCTAATGCTTATATGAGCATGTATGACAATAACTATAATATACAATATTTACATAGATCATTTCCCAGAATCATCAGAGCTTTTTAATTTCACAGAACTTTTTAATGGGATTTTTATAATGAACTTTCAAATCTAAGTTATTTTAGGGTGATCTAATAACTCCAATTCCTAATATTTAAAAAACATAACTATTTTTATAGTTCCTAAATTTAAACATTTAAAAATAGTAAATTTATTAAGAGAATAACAAAATTTTATTATTTCATGATTTGTCAATAATTCAATTACAGAATTATAACCCAAAGTAGAGCTGTGAAATACTTGTAAGATTATATAGTTAATTTTTAGAAATTTTTGTTTGAGCATAAATACTTCCAAGATCTCATACCAACTCAATGTTTCTGTTACCTTTATTTTTTAAATATATTCAAATCATGAAACCATAAAAAAAATGACAAGGCTCTTTGTGTTCTGACATGGAATAATCTCCAAGATAGATTATGAAGTGAAAAGTGAAAGTTGCAGGACAGAGAGTAAGCAGTATATTACTATTTGTATAAAACAAGGGAAATTAATATTTATATATATTTGCTTATAAGTTAATAAAATACCTCTGGGAGGATGACAAGAAGATAACATTGGTTATCTTCAGAGAAGAGAACTGGAGTAATGGGGTGGGAATGAGACTTTTTACATTTCAGTACCTATACAATGTTGAACCATGTGACTCTTACCTATTCAAAAACTAAAATTATAAAACAAATAAAATAAAATATTCATATATACTAAATCACAGACCTTTTACATGCTTAAACAGAGCTCAGTACTATCAGCAAGTGTGGGTAAAATTAACTATTGTGTGTGTGTGCAATTTCCCTCCTACCAAGGTATGTCCAATATGTTCACATCTGTCATTTCATAAAAATCCAAGAGGGTACAAAAAGCCAGTGCAGTCCAGGAAAAAAGGGAATATGGCAATAGTAGAGATGGCTGTTATATTTCTAGACTTTTATGATATCTCCTGAAAACACATGTTTTTAGACTGTCAAGGTCAGTTCTGGTTGATAGAAGTTCTTATATACTGTTCACAAGACTTTCCTGAAATTATAACATCTCTTAAATACCATAAACATGATTCATCTTAGTCAAACAGTGATAGTATATGGTCTACAAAGGGAGGTCCTACACTAAGTCCTCGAAAAGATTTCTCTTTAGGTAATGTAGCTTTAATTAAAACAATTTTCATGTGAAGAAGGTGAACCAATCTTTTTTGGATGAGTGAGGAGACTGAACAAACTTTCAGATCCTGCCCAGTTCTGAGAGTGTACAAGTCTTTACTGCATACAAAAAAAAAAAAAAAAAAAATGGGTCACTCTCAAAAAACCACTGGCTTATAATTCCTAAAACTCTTTTCTAGGAAGAAATGTATTTACTTGATTTTCCATGTATTAATCCATTGGTGGCTCAGCTCATGTTAAATAAAGGACCTTCTCTTCACTGGATATTATTAGCAACTCTTTGTCAGCTTCAGGAACTCCTACCTGAAGTTCCAGAAAAAGTGTTAAAGGTTAGTTATTTGAGATCTTTATTCTTATATAGGTTTATTTCCTTTCCATCTGAGTATTTATTTTTATCATAAGGTTTTCAAAATGAAGGTATCCAAGTATAATTGTTTTGGACTTCACACAGCAAAGAAATAATTTACTTGACCTAAGTTTTACATAGAATTCCCATCGACTGTCAATTGAATTATACATTTTAAAGTTATCTTATATAGATAATTCAGTACAGTCAGTTTATCACACTTTAAATCATTTTGAAGTGTTACTGTGCTCCAGATATTCAATTATACACTCTATTCATATTAGTTTACGTAATCTCTTCCAAACAATCCTGATACCCTTCATTATAATAGTAAAGAGAACTTTATTCTGAAAAGAGCCTTATTGGTAAAATTTTTAACTTTTCATGTATAACTTGTGTAACTAAAAATTCTATTATAACTGATTAGAACATAGATGCAAATTACAATTATTTTTTCTTTTAATGTAGACTATGTTGTTATTACATGGGTCAATATAATACCCATGAATGAACTACTTAATTATATTTAGCTTCCCTTCCATATAGATAAGCATTTTTATTTACATTTACTTGACTGATGTTCATATTTGTATTGCATTAATTCATTTTTAATATTTTTAGCATTTCTGTGACATCACTTCCTTATTCAAGATTAGTTCTTCTTCCACAACATCACCTCGAATTTCGTCACCTCAGGAAAATAGGAATCAGACTAGAACCTTCCCTTTTCAGAGTTTAGCTTCTGACTCTTCAGACTCTGTCATTCAAGAACATAATGAATATTGCCAGTACCCAGACTTAGAAGAGACAGTGCAGAGAGACACAAACACCACTTCAAATTACAACTCTTCCTTTGCGGAACTAAGGGAAAGAGAAATGCCACGCCTTTTACCATCTGTGACTTCTTACAGACAGACCAGCTATTGGAAAGACTCTAGTTCTAACCCTGACATAGCACAGAATAATCCCTTCCTGATTAACATGGAATCCAGGAACTCAGCTGGTAACTCCTTTCTAAACCAGAATGACTCACAGACAGATGTCCTTCCTTTGGGTCTAACACAAATGAATTATGAAACCAGAATATCACCAATCAACACTCAGAAGAGAGTTGCCCCTAATTTTATAAATTCTCAGCAAAAGGGAACACATGAAGCAAAAGGACCTATAAGTAAAGAAGTATCTGCCCCTATGCTTTCATTAGAGTACTCTCAATCTCCTCCTCATTGGAACTATAAGAAAAATGTATGGGAACAAGAGAAGCACTCTTTCAATTTACAATACAATGCAGAGCAGACTATGTGTGACAAATGGTACTCTCAGAAAGAAAACCTGTACACCATTCAGCAAAAATGTCTATCAGATGAGTTAGAGGGCTCCACAGGCAAAAGTTCAAGTGCTGGGACTCAAGAGACTTTCTGGAAAGAATTACCATGTGTCCCCACCTTGGATTTATTTTGTGCTTCCGATTCTAATGTAAATAAAAAAGAATTCAACAGTCTTTATTTCCACCAAAGAGATGGAACATGTTTAGGACAGAAAAGGCGTGCTGAATTTCCATCTCACTCAGGAGACCAGAAGTCATTAACAGGTAACATTGTTCAGTAGATGATAAATTCAGTAGATGATATTTTCAAATGTAATTTAAAATAATATAATCATCTCCAAATTAATTTTTCTTTGTTTTAATTACTATACTTGAAGAATCTTCAATAACTTTGGTTCAAAGAGAAAACCAAAATTCTAATTATAGATATCTAAGACAATAAATGTAAAGAAAATATGTCAAATTGATGTAGCTTGAGATGGACTAAGCATTCAACTTCAGAAGTGAAAAACACAGAACAACTCTAAATAAAGCAGAAGACTAAAATTAACAAAGATTAAACAGAGAAACAGTGAATTAGAAAATTAATTTTTTAAAGATTTTATTTATTTAATTTTTGAGAGAGGGTATGGGAAGGAGAAAGAGAGGGAGAGAAACATTAATGTGTGGTCGCCTCTTATGTGTCACATACTGAGGACCTGGCCCACAGCCCAAGCATGTGCCCTGACTGGGAATTGAACCCGTGACCCTTTGGTTCACAGTCCAGCACTCAATCCACTGAGCCACACTAGCCAGGACAGAAAATTAATTTATTTGTCAGGCAGGGATATTTAATGAGCTCAAATTTATTAAGAGTTTATTATATGCCAGGTGCCATTCTAAGCTCCTTATGTGGATTATTTAATTATGACAATCCTATTAGACAGATACTTATCCTTAACTCTACTGTGCAGTTGATGTTTCTGAACATCTAATAATATCAGTTTTTTGAAGGACAACTTTATTTTCTCATTTCTGGTAATTATACATTTCTTTTCTGTCATTACTTATTGCATTGGCCTGAACATCGAGAACAAAATATTAAGTTTTAATGGTCATACAAGATAAGAAAAAAAAAGGAGAGAGAGAAGCTCATGATTCAAAGCTCCTCTTTTGTATAGGCCCTTTTGGGAGGCCTGAGAGGGACCCAGAAAATCTTGTATTCTTTATCAAAAGAGGACCTCCCAAACTGTGTAAGCCCCAGGGTCCACAAAACTTGGGCTGGGTCCCTTTCAACAGTTATAATTTATTTTGTTCCTGATTTTAATGAAAAGTATTCTATTCCTAGTTTTGTAAGAACTGTTGTGAAGAATAGATGCTGAATTTTATCCAAACTTTTTGACACCTATCGGTGAAAATCAAACATATTTTCTCCATTGACCTATTAATGTCAAGGATTATATTTACAAGTTTAGTAATATTAAATCATTTTTGCCATTTCTGTAATAAACCTAATTGGCTTTTGAGGAGTGATTTTTAAAATACGTTGTAGAACATGGTTGCTAATATTTATGATTTTCTTACCTACATTCATAATGAAATTATTGTGTTATTTGTAGTCTCACATTTTGATATGATGGTTATTCCAGCCTCATAAATGAACTGGATGAAAATTTCATCTTTATTCATCCTGGAACAAAATAAGCATGCAAATTCCCATTCTTGAACATAGAGCCCCAGTATAGCATAATCCTCCCATTTTCTCAATGAGATTTCAGAAAATACATTAAAATATGTTTTAATATTTAAGCTTTAGAAATATAGATGGAATAGTCAAATATCTACCCACTTTTTTCAGTAATTTAGTTACAAATATGTATTTTTAAATCAAATAAGTAATGTTGGTTAAAAATATTGAAAATATATTTTTAAATATATTCATTTTTTTCCACTTTCCCATTATTTCCATAAAATAATTTTACTCAAATGGTTCACATAAATCTTTGATGTTAGTATCTTCATTATCACTGTGGCAACTTTTGATGTTTTTACTGTGGTCTTCCATAGCACATTATTACCTCCAAATGTGTTGTTTCAGATATAACACGTTTTGAATTCGTACTGATGCAGCTCTAGAAAATTTATCCAAAGCCTTTGGCATGACCTCAATATAATTTCCATTTGTCCAGTAGTACATTTGTGATATCTACCATGAAATTATCTACTACATCGTCTTCTTTAAATTTGCTTATAATTACATCCAGCTCTTGCAATTATGAGACTTTATCTCCAGGAATAATTACTAAAATGGTTTTAAATTTTTAGCCTCCTTTTTTTACTGACTTAATCCCTGACCTTTTTAAATATTCAAATCTAGGCTATTTTCAGACTAACATATAATATAACATATATAATACAATTTTTTAAGGTGAATCCATACATCATCCCACCTATCATGTAATAGAGCTCAGGATAAATTCTACAACATCACAGATATGGGTTAAGAAGCAAGCTGACTGCGGGAAAACTTAAAAGCAAGAATCTGAAATCAAGGGAGATTTACTTATTTGTGCAAGGTATGAGCATACGGATATGTGTCTATAACAGTATTACTAATGGATCATTAGGTATAGGTACATTTATGCTAAAATATAATTTAATAGTTACTATTTTATGCCAGTTGGAAAATTTTAAACTTTGTAGATAGATGATAAAGAGACAGGATCCATTTGAATAGCTGTAGAAAACAGCTACACTGTATTATCAGCAATAAAATGGTTTTCCTTTTTATCTTTTTAACAGAGTCCACATGCTCAGAACAACTACAATTCAAAAAACGGCGTCTAGTGTATGAAAAAGTCCCTGGTAGAGTCGATGGACAAACTCGTCTGAGGTTTTACTGAAAAAGAAAGAATAATCCTACATGTCACATTCCATTGTTTTTGTTGATAACCCAGTAACAAAATAATTTAGATTTGGTCATACATTAAAGAAAATGCAACTGCTCTTAGATGTTCTCGGTTTTCAATATTAAATTTTCATAATATATATTTTGCCCTATAGTTTGCATTCTTTGTAAGTTAAATATTCTAATTAGCATAATAATTATCTTAAGATCCAGATATCTCCAGATTCACCTAAACATTGCAAAGTCTTCTTTAAAAGAAACAGAAAACTTATTGTACATCAAAGGCTCATTTAGTTGTCTTCTGAAGGGCCTGCTGACTCCAGCTTCCTTCCCCCAGCACGACTTCTAAATGAGCCTCCATCTTAGTCTGACCCTCTCAGTCAAGAAGGGAAGATCACTCCCTGACCCGTGTGGCCTAGTGGGCTGGGCACCGTCCCACAGGCGAAAGGTCACCTGTTTGATTCCAGGGTGCACGTGCGGCCGACTCGGGTTTCCCTCTCACATCGATGTTTCTCCCCTTCTCTTCCCCCCCTTCCCCTCGCTCTGATAATAAACAAATAAAGTCTTTAAAAAAAAGTGAAGATTACCAGTCAATCCTCCATCACTAGTAAGAAAGTTAAAACCTAAGACAAAATTGAAGTTAGAGAACTTCCAATTTAAAGTATATTTGTAAACAAAATTTAAAACAAATTACTAAGAGGAGAAAAATGCAGCCCACATAATAGAAAAAGGGTTTACATTCCTATTATACAAAGAATTCATACAAATTGATAGGAAGAAGACAACAACCTAATAGAAGAACGTGCAAAATACATGAATAGATATTTCATAAAAGTAGCCAATAAACATTTGAAACAGTATTATGCAAATGCAAATTAAAACAATATGTTACTGGGGGGGGTTTTGCCTATCAGATCAGCAAAATTTTGAAAATTCAGAATGTCCAAAATTCAGACATCACCCTACTTGGAGCCTCGCCAGCGTTGGATACTGTTAATCACACCCACCTTTTTGAAATACGCTGTTTGACCTTTATACCACCTGTCCCGCTTGTCTCTTCTCTTTCTACCGCACCTTTACTTAGAGGATCTTTGGGATGGCTTGAGTGTGTAGGGAGTGCAGACTTTAAGGAGAGACTATTCCTGGAAATCTAGTTAGAATTTCTTTTCTACTTCCTTAAAGTTTTGGCAGGATTGCTCCTAAGGTAAGGCTAAGGCTCCCCAGAATGCACACCTTCTTTAGCCTATTTCTAGTCAGCTCCCAGAGGGGAGGAGTTTCTTCACAGGCCACCAAATGCAGTGGAAGCATCTGAGTCCTCCTGCTGCATTTCTCAGTGATGTTTGCTGATCCAGTGAGTGAGCTCAGCACCAGCAGAGCACTCCCAGGGAGCAATGGTCACCTGAGAGCTGGAGCTGGTCCACGAGCGAAGCCTGAAGGGTCTGGACTGGCCCTTGTGAGGGGCCAGAAGTGTCGGTTCAGCCTCCAAGAACCTCTTCCAAACACCCCATCATACAGAATTGTCTGGAACAGCCCCAACTTCCCAGACTGGCTCTTGCAATAAAGACTTCGATCCTTTGTCTGAGAGCATTTCATTTCTTTATGCGGTTTTTCACGTTCTAAGGAGAGTTATTTGCATTTAGATTCATTGCTGGTGATAGTGATGCTGACCTTTGGGGTACTGTGAGAAGCCTTACTCCGAGTCCCTGGGCCCAGCTCAAACTCTGGGCCTCACCAGGACACCGCGTCTCTTCCGCGTGCGGGTGCGGGCGGAGGTAAGAAACTGCCCCCTTTTCCACTGAGACTCAGCGTACAACTGGGGACCAGCGCCGGGGTGTTCTACCCCTCGCCTCTCATTCTAGGAGCCTGGGTCCTGTCCCCAGATACCGAGCCCCCCTCCCCCGAAACACGGGATCCACAACGGAGTGGTGGGAGCTGAAGGTAGGGGGGCGCGCAAACTAGCGACCCAAAGGAAGGGCTGGAAAAAATGCCTTCTTCCGTCTTTTGCTTTTTTGTTTGTTGTTATTTGCACTGTACAACAGTTACTAATTCAATACTTAATTTAAATTCCTTATTTATTTAAATTAATTTAATTTAATTTGATGTAGTCAAGTATACACACCTTTTCTTTTTTGATTTTCAGGTTTTCCGTCTTGCTTGCTTAGGAAGACCTCTTTTACCCTAAAGTTGTATAATTATTATCCTAATTATTCTCCTAATGCTTTTGTATTATCTGTCTTTAACCCCCGTGGATATTTTTCCGTAGTGTAATAGAGGCCCAGTTTATTTTCTTCCTGATGGACAGGCAATAATGGAGCACCATTCACTGAGTAAGCCATCCTTTCCCACCGAACAGACAAAAAAGTCAAGTCTATTTCTGAATGATTATGATCCATTCATCTACTTGCCTATTGGTACACACAATAAAATTTCTCATTTTGGGTTTTCTTTTCTAATATTTTATTTTTTCAATTATATTTTCTTGAGTCAGCAGATTTAAAATTGTTTTAATAATGAGCAAGGCAAGCTTCACCCTCCTTGTAGAACCACACACACCCACACAAGGTTTAAAAACTATTCTTGGATGCTGGACTTTTCCACATGAACTTTTAGATATTTTAATCACACTTCCTCAAAAGCGATAAAATAGGAATGCCACAAAATTTGTATGAAATTTAGATTTCATAAAATTGCATTTTAATGAAATTGTGTTAATACCCTGTAATTTATGTAGAGCCTGTTCTATAAACATCAATAATACCTTTTCTTTGACTCACAACTTTTGTTAAATTTATTCTCAAGTTTTTTTTATTTTGTCATAAAGTGGAAATGGGATATGGTTTCCATTTCCATTTTTAACTAGCTATTGCCAATGTAGAAATGCCGTTTTTTTCTATATATACTTTGTATCCAGAAAGCCTCCCAAATTCTATTACAAGTATTTCTTTTACTAGATTCTGATGAGTTTTCAAGGTGTACAATTATATAATCCATAAATATAGCTATTACTCCTAAAATGTTTACTCCATTTTATTTTTTCATCTTACTGCATTAGTTAATAATGCCAAGCATTGCTGAATAGTGATGATAAGAGATATTCTTCTTTTATTACTAACATGCTGAATGTTTCTACTTTTCACCATGTAGTATAAATTTTCCTGTTGGTATTGACAAACTGTCTTTACCATTAATTTTTTTCCATTCTTATTTCACTAGTCCACTTAGCTTTTATTCAGAACAGCACTGAATTTTATCAAATAACTTGTTGGCATAGATTCTCTTCTTTAAACCATTCACAGAATGAATTACATTGATAGGTTTCCTTACAGTGAAATAGCTTTATCAGATTGTATCTTTCTTGATATACTACTAAATTTGATTTGCTTATACTTAGGGCATTTACATCTGTATTCATGAGATATCTATAGTTTTCTTGTACTATCTTACCAAGATTTTGCCAAAGAAAAAAGTGGAATAAAGAGAAGTTTTCTGTGGGTATTTTTTTTAACATACAAAAAGCTGCGCATAATTAACGTATGCAACTTGATGAGTTGGCAGATAAGGGAAACCACCCTCAAGATCTATGCCCTGACCCTATCCATCACCTCCAAAAGTGTTCTTCTGCCCTCTTACTATTTTTTTGTGGTAAGAATAGGTAACATTAAATCTACCTTCTTAGAAAAATTTTAAGTATACATGTACAGTACAGCATTGTTAATTATAAGCACTATGCTGAACAACAGGTCTCCAGGAGTTACTCAACTTGTAAACCAAAATTTGTTTGTTAATGGAGATTTTTTTTTCAGTGCTATTGTTAAGATGGAGAATGGAACATGTTTAAAAGCTGATAGAAAAGGCCCAGTGAAGAAGATGAAGTGGAGGAGAGAAGGGATAAGTGATAGTGTGACATTTCAGAGATGGTGAACAGATCCAGAGAACAGCACCAGGGTTAGGAAGGGGTGTGTGACGTCTGAGCGGATGAAAGGAACTCACGCTGGTTAGGCTGGGAAGCTCAGGGGCCAGAAGTGAAGGGAGTTCCCATCTAATGGCTTCTATCGTCTCTACTGTACCAATACTTATGCTCAAAAATACTTTCTTTTATTTATTTATGGTCTTATACATAGTTATTTCAAGAGCAAATGTCAGTAACAGATATTTATGTATGTTAGACATCTATCTGTTTTTACAAACTTCTACGAGTGTTTACACACAACGTTACCTCCCATTTCCAGCACGCAGTCCACAAGCAAACAGAACTTCACGAAGCCCTAAGACAAAAAGTCAGACACCCGGAATGTTGCTGCTGTAGAAAATGATGAATTAAGCAGAAATTTTATTTTCAAGCTCTTCAAAGATTATTACAAACACAAAGTATTCTTTTGAAAGTGTCTCAAATTAAATCAAAGGCACATCATTAAAGTAAAACATGACATTAAGAATTCATTTAGGTTGTAAAATTTTCACATTACTTTGTTTTTAATCACTTGCAATGTTCTGTAAGTCGCATTTTACATGTTTTTTAAAGACATGAAATAGTACATTTCAATAATGTACTATTCAGTACATCCACAACTCTGGAGGAACTTAGGAAGAGCTGTGTGTCGCACAGAGAATGGGGAGGTCTAGTACATGATGCGTTAATCTTTCCCACAAGTTTGCTAAGAAACAGCTTCCATTTTTAGTGTTAAAAGAGTCTTCTCACTTACAAAAATCAAGACATCATTTGATTAATATAGCCTATTCTTCCCACAATTTTACATTGGCTTATCTTTATTTAGAAATTGTAAATTCATGAGAAAAGGACAAATTTTATTATGGCGTAAAAATCTTAGGAATGACAAAATTCCAAATATTGAATTTTTTAATAGACAAAAATGGTTTCCTTTCTTAAATGTAAATATCCAGTAAATAAAACATACATCATATTCCAGGTATAGAAACACTAGTAATTCCCTTGTGAAAGAGGTGCATTTTTGTGTATTTGGTGGTAAGGTTTTT